TAATTACGTGACTTGCAAAAGTAGATTTAAGGACTTATTTTTTTAAAAAAAAAAAGTCTAGAAATTTAAATTTGAAGAGCAAATTAACATATAGATTTAAAGGCTATATGCAATGTTAGTTGTTTATAGGTGAGAAACTAAAGATATTACGCTGGATCAGGCTCGGTTGAAATTTCCAAATGCCTCGTAGAGGTTCGGTGGAAATTTACAAACCCCTCAAAGAGGTTCGGGGGAGATTTGCCAACTCCTCATAGATGTTCGATGGAAATTAAACGCCTTCGAGTTATTGACCGGTCCAACCCGGCTGCATTCATGAATCACCCGTTCAAATTATCATCTTGATAAAGATGGTTTTACTTCGTCGGATATTCATTCTAGTATTTGAAGGATGGAGTAAATTATTTTCTTAATCCAATAGAGTCAAAATTCCTTTCCGTTTTAAGATTTTCAACAACTCCTTACTTCAATTTTTTAACCCATAAAATTTCACGTTCTTACATTCGGGAAGAGAGAATTAGAAATATCCCATTGATTGCAGCTTTCTCTCCGAACTCCTTTTTATGTAGTCAAAGTAAAGGGTTGCTAGGGTTTTGAGTCAAGGCTTGCTAGGTCTGCTGGGTCCTGGGTATGATAAAGTAGGAGGAGTTCTGCTTCCACCAGTAGGACGGTTCTCTTCCCTTGCCAATTGAACTCTCGTACTCTGACCCAATGAAACGAAAAAAATTCTTCCAATGACGAAACCTGTAAGACATAACATAAGTTACCACCTTCAACTCGAAACTACGAAGAATCCACTTCATATATTTAGTTCAGCTTCTTATGTTTAACTTAAAAGGTTTGTGATGTGTCAGATATTCATGTCTTCGTTATAATTCATATCTTGCTTGCGTATGTGCTTAAGTTTCTTTGCCTTTGCCAATTGTATCACACTGATATGAATTCAAACTAAATATCTTGTACACGTACGACCAGGAAAGTTTCAGAGAAATAAGCACTTACCGGAAAAGCCAGAAGGTTTCCTTTGTCAGGTGAGCTTTTAGCTTGCAGATGACATTTTGCAACTCCAGTCTGTCGCCCCAGCCTATCCGTCGTTAGTTGCTCAACTGCCAGAGCTTACTTAGCGCTGAACTAAATGTATAATTATTTCTTTGAGTGATGTACTAAATGTATGAATTATGATTATATTTTCTAGTGATGAACTAATGTTTCATGCACTAATTAGTGACGCAGTACTGCTGCAGATTAGAGGAAGTATGAATCGAGCAATCAGGGGCGTGGCTACAATTTATTTTTTTCTTTTTTATCTTGTGTTGGTGATATTTCAATTAGGTATCGAAACATTCATCTCATCGCTCCCACTCTGGGGTAGGAAGGACTAAGAATGAGCTTAGCTTCCATGGCTCCTCATGAGAAGAGTTTTTCGATATCAAGACAGGCGTGTTTGTTTTTTCCTGTCCTAAATTTATAATCTGATTGTTTTGATATGATGACTTACCAACTTGGTGTAGAGTCTATAGACTTTATCTGTATAAATGGAATATTTGTAGCTAACGGAAGACTCAGAAAGAGATTATAAGAAAGGATATGGAGTACTTGTAGCTAAAGAAAGATTTGGCACAAGACTGAGTGCAGTGGCATTCAATGATTCATACAGCCCACCCCGTTTAATGAGATAAGGCTTGGTTGTTGTACAAGTAGTATTCTTTGTGTGCAATTTGTGGCGTAAATAAAAAGGTGTTTGGGGGGTGATTGGGAGGATTCAAATAAACAAATGCCTCTTTCCAGACGGTTTTATCTCAAGCTCTCCAGGTGACCTGGATGTCTAGATATAGAGCGAAACAAATAAATTAAAGATGTTACTTTTCAGTTGCTGACCTTTTCCTTGTTGCTCTGCTGTGACAAGCTCTCTAAATCTTGTCCGTGACATGATACAGCACGTTCGGGTCTTCTTTGTTCCGTACTGATGAGCCATCGAGAACAACAAGGCTGTTTCTTGGGGAATGAAACAATCGTTTTTGGAGGGCAAGAGCAAATACCCTTCAAGTTGTGCAGCGCGCAGCTGCAATTGCGGTGGTATGGCCTGTTCTCAATCTCCATGTCCTGAATTGATAAACTTACTTCAATCACGCATTGAAGCATCATTGCCGCTATCCCAAGGATCATCCCTCCCACCTCTCCTCTCCTAAGCTTTAGTGAAAACGCAAGTGTAAGTATGTATGTGCCAATTAAGCTTTTGAAAAAGTGTGCTTCCTTTTTCTACATATGTGTGTCTTTGAAGTGCTTCTGTTACATGCTTATATAGAACACGGAGGGGTGTTTCTTCACGGTAGTGTAGGAGTAACCAAGAGTAGAAGTTTTGTTAGCTTCGCTACGCCGTTGAACTCAAGAGAAGCTTAGCAATGGTGGTCGTTCTTGGGAATCATTATTCTTTTTCAGCTTTTGTTTTTCATGAGGCCTTGTCAAAGTAGTTATTCAACAAGGCAGTTGGTTTTTCTTGAAAAAATCAGCTTCTCGAACACATGCTTTAGAGAGAGAGAGAGGGAGAGTTTAGACAAAACGATTTTCTTACTTAAGCTTAGTTGACTGTTTCTACGACTTTAACATAGTTTTTCTCCGTAATGACGTCTTTTTACTAATCTTGTTACCAATCCTATTGTTATGAGCGTGAGTTAGTTGACTGTTTCTACGCGACAACATCTCCGTTTTAGCACGGCGTCACCGTCCTCTCTCTCTATCTCTCTCTCGTCCTTGTAGAATAGTAACTTTAGGACGTAAAATATGGAGTCACTGTCTCCCTCCTCTCTCGCTCTTGCGTTTTTGCCTTTCAACTTTACCTCATTGGAATTGTCATTACTTGAAAATAACTAATAACCACTATCAGTAAGGTAGTAAACACTATCTGCTTCAATCCGTTTTATTGCTTCAATCCTTTTCATGGTCATTTTTGTATATCCCGGCCTTGTAATCTCGAATCTTGACTGCCTGCTTCCATTTATTTTGAGAAACAATGTTCTGATATGGTATTCGCAATTCATTCAGTGGATCGAGACTCCATGTCGATCGTGTTGTTGCTTTGTGCGATAAGAATTTGAAAATTCGATCGTGACTTTATCTTTTGTGATAAATTGATAACATAATGTGTTTTCCAAAAAAAAAAAAAAAATGATAACATAATGCAGCTATCTTATATGTACTTAAATCTGTAAGTGAACTTCTCACAGTAACTTTCGATATCACATATATGTAGAAACGTAAGTTCTTTACGGAATTGAAACTTGAAATGCACTGTTGCAATTACTATTCACTACATAAGTTCATGTAAGGTCTCTCCTCTCATTAACGTGTAATTCATTCTCAACAGAATATAGACAGAAACTTTGGTAGTCCTTTGTGTTCTCCACCTTTCTGTGTAAACTCTCGTACTTGACGCTTTTGCCTATGATATGTTTCCTCGTAGCACCACTTATTTGAGTTTTAGTTTTGGCAAGGCCTGTGAGCTTTGGAACCAAGGCATGCGTATTGGCAGCTTATAGTTTGTACTTCGGACTAACAAATTAAAAATGTACACTTTTCTTGGTTGTGTTGCTTATAAAGATCTGCAAGCGGGCAAAGATTTCGCCATTACCAGACATATATCTCGGTCACGTGATCAATGTTATACTAAACAAATGAATATACCCGCCGTAAAAGGCAAATATCTCCTCTGCAATTGGAGGAGATAATGTATGATGATCGATTTTCTTTTTGTTGTATATTGTTGTCTCATTTGGAGTGTGCACGGTGTACAACCACAAAACTCTCTGTGTGTGTCATATTCTTATGTGGTAGCCATCTTCAATGTCGACATATTCGTAATACTTATATTCATTCGGCAAGAACAAGATAACATTTTCTAAATGGAAAATGTTTTCTAAACTCCCCTTTTGTTCTTTGGATCTTCCTTTTATTTTTTTTAATTACAACTAATATTACTATTCTAAGCTACATTAAAGATCAGTTTGGGTTGTTGTGTTTTCTTTTCTTTCTTTTTTTAAATTTTAAATTGCTTCTGCTTTGCTACGAGACTAAACAACTGTGAAAAAAAAGGCTTTTAGTGAAAAAAAAAAATCAAGGTAGAATTGTCAATATGAAATTCAATATTGTTCACCTGCCTCTATTGATAAAAAAAAATGTTTTTTTTTAGAAGCATGTATAGAGCTGCTTCTGCGTTCTGTTGTTTTGGACTTGTAATTTTTAAGAAGCTACTTTCACTTACTAAACACAAATAAGACCCCAACTTTTTTAAGAAGTTACTTTTAAAAAAATTTAAGTAACCGCAACCATTCCTATGAAGATAGTTAAATTTGAACTCAAAAAACAGTGGATTGAGAAAAATACCTCATTCGTCAGTATTATTTCTTTATTTAGGTGCCTCATATCTTTTCGATGAATTTAATGACAAAAACAAAACAACAACAAAAGTACGGAGAGAAAACCTAGAGTACGGAAATTATTTTCGTGTTTCTAATTAGGTATTTTAAAATGACAGATTGGGAAGCATAGATGGAGGGACATGAGAACATGGATGGTATTTCACTTTGTGTGTCATTTCTTCTGTTTGTTCGTTTTCTTTTCCTCTTTTTGTTATAATATTTAATAAAAGTTGTTTTCTAATTTGTTGAACATGTTGGTGCAGCCAACTAAACATCCCATCCAGCCTAGAATACGAGAGATTTTTAGTGTGCAGGGTTATTCCAATACACTAACTGTAATATTATAATTGATGAGAAATTTAAAAAAAAAATCAAACTAATTATATTATGATATTTAGTGTAGTGTGCTTGGCACATTAAAAATTTTCTCTTAAATGTCGGTTGGTGTTTGGATTGTATTGTATAATGTATTGGCTTTATTAACTATTTGGTAATTAAACACACTCAAAGACTGATAGTCTTTCTTTATGTTAACGGCTCTCCAAATTCCTATGCATTGTTTAATCTAGATCGAAGAATCTCCAAAAGTATCTAAAAAAAGGTTTATCTGCAAGTCACAATTTAATACATATGTAAATATATTACACATATGTCCGCTTACAATTTATTTGTTGAACTGAATGACTTGTTATAAGTAAGAAGTCAAAAAAAATTTCCATATACTTGTATGCTTTTGGCACCGGCTCCAATTATCAACATCTTGAGAAGGGTTACCAGTCATGTTATTTGTCTGACACCTCTAACAAAAACATATGACCTGTTATATTATATTTTGGTCACTCTCGATCCCACCCTGATTCCATCCAATATAAAAGAGAGCTCTGCCAAAGTTCTTCCTCAATAGCTCAACCCACAATCTAGCTAGATCCCCAAATTGGGTTTTGAAGGAGAGCAAGGAAGAAGGGGATCCAAGATTTCATATTTGCAGTCTAAAACCTGCAAATTTGGAGTGAAATTGACAAAGATGGATAGAAACAAATTAGAACCCAATATTCTGTTTAGTGAGTTCAAAACGGAAAGAGAGCATGTTCTTAACCAAAATACGATGATTGCCAGATAAAAAAATAGCATTGATATGATGATGATCAGAAAAACTTACAAACCTCTCTGAGTAAACTCAAAATTAGATTTAATTACAAAACTTGATTATCCCATATTATTGATCAAACAAAGTATACTTATTGTTCTGATCAAATCACAAACATACATCAAACCTTGAAGAGAACATTCTCCTCCTCATCCTCCTCCTCGTCCTCATCGCACAAAGTATCCAATTGTTGATGCGACTGCCGCCGCTGATGTAGCCTCCCGACCGCATGGTGGTGCTTAGCCGGCGAGGAAGACGGCGAGGAGTGCACAGAAGAACCGGCTGAAGCCACCAAAGCCAAGTTCCCTTCGCTCCAAGCCCGCCTTAGCGGATACGACACTTTCTTACTCTTAGGCCCTCCGTGGGTACATTGCTTGTTAGGTGACTTGTTGTGTAGGGCACAGCCACAGTTGCGGTGGTACGGGCGCCGCTCCACTCCGATATCCAACTCTGATAAGCAACCCTCGTACACGCACCGGAACAGCCCGTCCGCGGCAGCTCCTGCAGCGGCCATACGACAAGTTTAGGTGTTCGTATTGAATGTGTTACAGATCACAAATATACACAAACGACGTGTTTGTGCACCACCACCCTCTATAAATGAAAAGTTAGGCGTTAAGGGACAGGGGGGGGGCATTTATAGGAAATGGGGTTGTTGGTTGTTATATAGTGGAAAAGGTCGGGGGGTGGGGGGTGGGGGGTGGGGGGTGGGGGGTGGGGGCAAGACAAGAGAGAGAGAGAGGGAGAAGTTGGTTGTCAGCTAGCTGGGTTGGCTGGGTTGCTGGGTGTGTTGTGTGAGAGCATATGAAGCAGTAATTCAAGGGTTGAAGGCGTGTGATGTGGGTCGGTCGTAGACTGAGTTAATTTTTGGCATGCACTTGTACATGTGGGCGTGTTTGAGTGGAAATATGGTTATGAGTTAGGAGAGAAATTAGGGAGTGAAGTTACCAACAAGAAATTAATTAGATCGCAATTAGTTAGGTATACTTTTTTGAGTGATTTTACTCAGTTGTATGGTGTTATTAATCTATTTATATGACCATAAAAGAATATATATATATATATAGGTCCTTTATGCAAAAGGAATTTTTTTTAATAGGGATTAGGTGTGAGATTCACTCCATATTGAATTTCAACGATCCGAACCGTCTATTTGTAAGTCTCAATTCATAAATCATCTTTACAAAAATTTAATTCAATCCGAAACCATTTGCCTATTTAATTATCAATGTCAAATTTCATTGTTTCTTATATAACAATGTATTTGTTCATTTCTTTGAACTCAATTAGATGTCTTAAATATTTCCTATTTGGCTAATATTTTGCAATGATGATCTAAGAGGTACAACTTGAAAAATAGACGGTTTGGATCGTTAAAGTTCGATGTGATGTGGACCCTACAACTAATTCTCATTTTTATAAAAAAAAATTGAGGATCCATTTTCTTAAAGGCTTCCTATATATATATATAATTGATGACATATCAATTATATTGCTCATACATATCATAGCACGTGAATTAACGTGTATTTATGTTGTTTTTTAAATGACTAAAAGTGTTTTATGACATTTGAAAGCATTTTTATCTGCACTTGGCAAAAAAAAATTTAATTTGTTTTTGCTAAAAATGTTCATGAACGTATATGAACTTTTAAAGATGCGGTCTCAAACGCGCTCCTACTAACACCATATGATAATGTGATTGTACGCATTCTAAAAAACTAGAATTCTGATTAGGTCACTTTAAATCCAAACTCATTATATATATGACGTTAGGATTAGCTTAGCAATCATCTATCTTTGTACTTGTTTGTAGGTATGTTTGGTATATTGTAGCTGCCGTGTTGCTATATTGGAGTCATCCCTATAAAATGTCTTGTTCACCAATCATGCAAAAGAACTATTTTTTTGGTAATTTGTGGGATTAAGTAGCTAACTAGCTAGCAAGATTACTTCTCAAAACGAAAGATCAACTTTCGTGGGGCTACTGATTTACTTGTGTCGATGAGAATTTTTGTGGCTTCAATTTGACACATTAGGGTTACTTTACGAGCGATAAAATTTATTAGGAGAAATTAGGTTTACATCCTTCTTTTTACTACTTCATTGATTAAAATCCTATTCATTTTCAATTTTTTATCAAGGTCTTTGGGTATTAATAACATCATTAATTATTTGAATAGTAAAATATTTTTATTTTTAAATAAAAATGTTAAAATTAGTATATTTATATTTATGGTTAAATTTTTTATCATATATTTTTATTGTTAGTTTGTACCTATTTTTAATTTGTACCCATATATTAGTTTTTTTTTGTGCCCATATTTTTTAAAGTTTTATTTGTGTTTGTACCCATGTGTATACCGTCACGTGACATTATATATTTAATCAATGATAGAAAAATTACATATGGTATACTTATGTTTTATGCCTAAACTTTGTATCATTTATTTATATATTTAGTTTGTACACACTTTTAATTTGCAACATTTTTTTAAATTTGTAGTATTTTCTTTTTAATTTTATTTTGTACCCATGTATTAATTTCTTTTAGTGCCTATATTTTTTAAAAATTCATTTGTACTCATAATTTTTTAATCTTTTATATGTACCCTAATTTATTTATAATGTACCCATTCTTCTTTATTAATGTACCACTTTGTTATATGTGAAATGTACCAATTTTTTTGTAAAATGTACCAATTTTTTTAACACTATGGATACATTCTTTTTCCATTTATTATTTCTTATTTTTACGTAGTTTTTATCCATTTATTCAATCAAAATGTTTGAATTTTTTTATTGTAACCGTTTATAATAGTATTATAATGAGAGATTTAAATTTATAGGATTATAAATCTCATAAAATATCAAACAATTAATGTCAAAACTATAAAAATATTAATATTAATTGTAATATAATGAGGTGTACAAAGTCAAGGGACTTTGATCAAACTTTGAATACCATTAAGGTTTTAATCAAAGAATGTTAAGGATTAGGGACTGCATCCAAAGTATCCCATATTATAATATGAGTAAGCAACATGCATTACGAATATGAGAGAGTACATTTAAAAATATCAGTCATATTAATTTTCATGTTATATAAATGATTAAAACACCACCTTACGGATCTCTTTAAACATTTATAACGAATGTATTGATACAAAAAAATAAAAAAAGAATCTAGGATGCATGTAGAAAATTGTTGAACAAAACAAAGAAAAAAGGATGCTTGTAGAAAATTAAAGCACATGCATATGCGTTTTGAGTCCTTCGGTTTCAACACCACACCACCAAAGTATTGTACTGTTGCTTGGGATTCAGAGCTAGCTTTGATTAATCAAAGATGCAAATGAATATTTATATAGGAACTTTAACGAAAAGCACCCGGTACTGTTCATTTTAACGAAAAACCACATTTTTACACTAAAAAGTCAATCCTGGTATTATTCACTTTACTCTTTATTTTGTTCTTATCATTAAAACTCAAAGTTTTCAAGCCATTTTCATTAGTTTTCCTTATTTATATTAGCTTAATTAAAGAACGGCTTTTTGTTAGCATAATTTCTCATTTTAATCCCTTAACAATGAAAATCGATAGAAGTGATTCCTGAATGTGACAAACTTAGAGACTACTTTTATCGATTGCATACTCAAGGATCACTTCTATCGATTTTCAATATCAGAAATCAAAATGAGAAAATTATATATGTCAACATCAAGAACCATTTTAGCTAAAAAAAACTTTAAAGAAATAATAATCAAACCGTTGAGATTTTATGTTGTAAGAAGGGAAGTAGCATTTTGGGAATCTGTGATCGAGTCTGGGAACCAAAGTAGCATGCAGCAACAAATGGACGGATACTTCTGCACTGCACTATCATGTGAGACTGTAAGCAACCCATGTGAGTCTTGGGAAGGTGATGCCAAAGCATCACTATCGATCGTAGTAGTAAAAGAGTAAATACAATTTACTGAAGGGGGAGAAAGAAAAGGGCAGAGAGAGAGTAATTGAGCATGCTATGCTTGGACTTGGAGATTCACGTAGTCGTAATATATACTAGGGTTACGTCGTGTTACCAACTCATGTATCGTAATATTATTATGTGATGTTACTAATTTACGTTTCATAATATTAGTAGCTAAGGAGTTCATAGTTTATCAAATTAACGATATTCATTAAAGAATATATATTAAAGACATGTACATATCCAAATACCAACATGATGGTAAAAACTATAGTTTCAAAATAAAACATCAAACTAAAACAAACAAAAAGTCGCGCAAACTACTAAAAAACTCACTTCACCAAAATCTTGCATTGCATAATCCGTATCCAAGCTCGTCACCGAAAACAATCAAATCCTATAACCCTAAATAGTTTATATTTTAAATATAGAATTTGTGGAATAAATATACTGTGTATTTATAAGTAATACGTTACGCAGTTATAGTTACACTACCGAAAGAGAAAATTTATATGTAAAAAACATCATAACGTTCTAAACTAATAACACAATACTTACACTACTAAACGTCGTCTTCTATAGCCGTTCAGAAAAATGCATGTATGAACTTCCCCTACCCTAAACCCCGATAGTCAACATGCAGATTCCAGTTGCACAACCAGTCACGAGAAGAGGAAAAACAAACTTTCCAGTTAATAAAGTTGGCAAAATCTAAGCTAATAATATGCCCACCTGTGGTCACGTCTATTTAAATCATGGGAGGTTCTTTTCTATTTCTTCCAACTGCCTTTGCTTGTAAATATTAATTAAAAAATTTCACCATTAAATGGCAACCAAAGCCAGCCAAGAAAAAGATTCAAACAAACCTTCAATAATCTTTATCTATTTCGATCTCACCAAGTACCAAATTTGATTTGATTGTGTTAGAAATCAAATATGATATAAAAGCGAAAGTGGAATAATAGAGAGAGACGAGAGAGAGAGAGAGAGAGAGAGAGAGATTGGGAGAAGAAAATCAAAGTGTGTACTTTCATTATCATTAGACGCCTTTGTATAGGTAAGAGTAACTTGAAGGAAAAGCCCAAGTACCTCTAATTTACATCAATGATCGATAAGCATTAACTAATACTACACAATTGGTTACGAATACGGACAACCACATAGACATAAATATTTACAACACTCCCCATTGGATGTCCATGTGTTAATGAAGTTATGTCTATTATGATAGTTACCTCAATAAAACCTTGCTTGAAAAACCCAATGGGACAAAACCAAAGTAAAGAAGAAAATCGAGCACAATTTTGGAAACACTAGTAAGGTGTTGGACGCACATAACGTTGCCTTGCTAAAACCTTGCCAAAAAAAAAACTCAGTGGGATAAAAACCTGGTTGAAGGGAAAAAAGCACAACGAGCTTATATGTCCATTATAGCATATTGTCAAAAACTCCCCATAAGAAATAACTCCGCTAGATAAGCGACTCCCCCTGATGATAGTAAGCCTTGATTTGATTGATCATCATTGTCAATTTTGAAGTAATGTGAGGAAATTGAACTTGAGCAAAACTTGACACTTGGAAGCGCAAAAGTTTATTGAGAATTGACAATAGCTGTTTGTACTCCTTCAAAGAACAAAGAAATACAAAATAAAATATAGGATTCAAAATAAATTTGTTGATGCACAAAACCGGAGGTCTTGAACCAACGTAAATCCAACCGTGAATCACACAAACGCACAAGAACACAAAGAACACAAAGATGTATCGTGGTTCACCCCAATGTTTGGGCTACGTCCACACTGATGTTGATTGTATTTCTCTGTATGAATGTATGGATTACAAGTGTGAGAGGGAGTCCCCCCCAGAGAAAGAGAGAGTTTAAGAGAGTTTCTCTGTTTGTGAGCTTTGTGGCTTCTGTATGTGAGGATGAGACCTCCTTTTTGTGAGGGGGAGGAGTCCCCTTTTATAGAATAAGGGGCTCCTCCTTTTACATATATCGTGGGCTTAATGTACCGAGGCCCAAGTAACGAGGCCCAATATAATATGGTACCAACAAAATTAGAAGTAGTTTATTAAACTCCATGGTAAATATAAGTAGACCATCTATACAAATAGCCTCATAGGGCTTTCAATAATCTTATAAAAATGGGAACTCCTCCAAGAGTATATTGTAACAATATAATTTTAGTTCGAACTAACAAGAATACTCGTTAAGACAATTTATACCAAACTTATAAAGAATAGGTATTGAGTGTATGTTTTGAGCTTTGGGCTCGTATAACGTTTGGTTTGGGCTTGGGCCTTTTGCATCGTGTCCATCATTTTATTCTAAAGCATATTCCTACTGCATCCTCCTCAACGGTCCACATAGAACCGCGCACGCTTCCGTTGGGCTGCGGATCTAATACTCCGATATCAGAATTCAGACCTTCCGTCTCTCTGTGGCGGCGACAGCGCAAAAGCTCACAGGGCAGCCATGGCTGGAGGAAGAGGAAGAGGCAGAGGAAGAAGAAGACCCAACATCAATGACAGCAGCAACATAAACAGGTGCAGCGGCAGCAGAAGAGCGTCGTCGTCGTCCTCCTCAAAGTCCAAATTTCGAGGAGGTCTGTTCGTGGAAGGCGGCATTTTATCCGATTGGTCATCCCCTCAAACCGATCAGCGAGGTTGTTCGTATATCCCTGTCGAAGGATCATACTTTGCTAATTTTTTGTTTGGTTTCCGGGAAAATAATGGGAACTGGGATTCGGAACGGATGTTTTGATTTAAGTTATAACTGCGGAGATAGCCAAATATTGTTTCCAGATTGAAAAGATTCAAACTTTTGCTGTATTTAGTTTTGAGTTTTGAATTTCAGGGAAAAATCCGAATTCGAGCAACAAATCTACGTCAAAATCAGTAGCAAAAGCAGCTTCTGGGTCGAAAAGTGATTCTCGGAGATCAAATGTTACCGCTATAGGATACCAATACCCTTCTGTTGAATTTCAGGTGTGTCCTTTTGGTTCAAAAGCTTCTTCCTGCAGTTAATTTTTTTCAATAAAAGAGAAAAAGTTTCTAATTTTCCTTTGTATTTTGTCTTGTTAAATACAGTTTTAGCCGTCTAAGATGAGATTTAAATTAAGTTTCCGAAAATTTATTTAATTTAATGGATTGGGTTCTAAGTTGTGATGAAATTGTAGTTACTAGCATTTTGTGCTTGTAGTGAAGAAAATATTACTAGAGCTAAGCAGGTAACTATTTCGTCATGCTCTCGTTTAAGTAAATTATAGTTCATCGGAAGGTTTTATTCTTTGTTTGAACAGTAGTTAGTTCATGGGGAAGTTTTTAGTATGCTTTTAATTTAAGTCGCTGCAAGCAATGTTTGAAGCATAATGTATGCACTTGTCAAATGGCTACAGGCCGAGGGTCTTTGAGGTTCCGTTTTTTCTTTCTTTACTGGAAAACTTGGAGAATGTTTATGGAGATAATATGTGAATTAATTGATGCATTGGGTATTCTTTTTTGTTACCCAATGCATCAATTAATTCACATATTATCTCCATAAACATTCTCCATAAATGGGGGTAAGGCTAGCCGACATTCACCTCTCCCAGACCCTGCGTAAAGCGGGAGCCTTGTGCACTGGGTACGACCTTATTGGGTATTCTTTTTTGTTAACAATTAAGTAGCAGCGTTGGTTCTACATTCATGTAGTTTGGATATGCTTTGGTTTGGACAGGAGGGTTTCTATTCAGAATTACGAGAAGGCAATGATGCAGAAAAAGATATGGACGAGTCGTGCCCTTTGGTTTTAGTTGATTACGAGGATACCCAAATTTCAGCTCACGCGTTCCAAACACAACCGTCAAGTCCCAATGAAGTGGCATTTACTTATCACTACGGTTCAAGTTTTGTGTTAGGTGAAAGCTCTCATAGAGGGCTAGGGTTCTCTGAGGAACTTGAGGAAACCCCAAGTGGCGTTGAAGATTCCTCAAAGCAAATGGAAGAGCCACAATATTCATGTTTTGACTTGGAGTCTTCTGATAAAGATGTGGATGCCAATGACGGGATGGACTGTGAAGTTGGCGAAGAGATGGCTGAAGAGATGCCAACAGAGATGTTGTCGCCCAAGAAGAACTCAGGCTTTTTGTCAATTGGTGGCATGAGATTGTACACCCAAGATATTTCTGATGAAGAAAGTGAAGAAGAAGAAAATGGAGAGTCACTGTATGAGGGAAGCTCAGGCTCTTCTGAGTCTGGAGAACGACTTGGATCCTCTGAAAGTGAAGACTCTGAAGAAATGTCTGATAGTGATTCAGATATAGACGATGATGTTGCAGAAGATTATTTAGTGGGAATTGGTGGGAGTTACAACATTTTAAGTTCCAAATTTTTGGTAGAACAGGATTTGGATGAGCCGGATAAGAATAGCTCTCTGAGGAGTGGCTTTGATGAAACTTTGCAGAAGTTGGGCGGAATTGCTCTTCAGGATGCATCTAGGGAATATGGTAGGAAGAAGGGCCAGTCACAGAAGAAACATAATGTGAATGAAAGACATGCTCGGTCTTTGGCTATAGATGACCTAATGCTTTTAAAGGATCCAAGAAAGCATACAAAAAAGAAGCCCGTTGCTAAGTATCCTCAGTCTTGGCCTGCAAAAGCTCAAAGGAGTAAATTCTCAAGAACTTTTCCTGGTATAAGATCTTTTCTTTCTCAGTTTGGCTTCGTATGTGTAGCTTGGTTAACATGTGTCTGTTCCATGAAAGGGATGTGATCTGGCAATGGCTGAGTCAAGTTCATAATGAATTTCAGCGGATTAACATTTATGTGCTTTGCTTTTTCAGTTGGAGAAGCAAATGAGCTTTCTCATGTTTTTCGTAGTTTCTAGTATTCCTAGTATCCTGTAGATGAATATGATTTGAAGTGCATGGTTTCGAAGTTAGATCTCAATTAGAATGACTATGCGGGTAAAATTTCCCACTTATCATGGGTTAATAAATGTCTGAGGACTGTTTGTATATCAGAGAGAGGATTCCTGTATGATATTGTAATATTTTTCGATTGATTGTCATTCATGCCTTTGTCTCATGCTAGATATTGTTCTAACTGACTTTCCATTCAGGAGAAAAAAAGAAACATCGTAAAGAAAGGATGGTTGAGAAGCGCAGGGAGAGAATGCTGCGCCGAGGTGTTGATCTTGAGCGCATAAATTTGGTAAACTCCTTTGTTGTTTTCAATGAAGTTGTGTGCTGGTCAGTAACTCATGGAGGATATAATGTGCAATGCATTATACTTGGACTGTATTACATTTATATTCTTTTCTATTTTAAAATGGAGCAAATTGTTTCGGATGGAGTAGATATGTTTTCTTTTCAGCCTATGCATTCCAGGGATTGTTCCCAGGTATGGAATTTCGATTTATCTCCTTAATTTGATGTTTGTAACTTATTTGATCCTCTTAGTTTTACCGTTTACACTTTCTGTGGGCACTTCATTTTCGTCAAGTGTTAGCCTTTGTTTGATAGTTGGTGTTTTTGAATATTTTAGGTGCAGCGATTAGCCGCAATTTATCACCTAAGGAGTTCCTGCCAAGGATCTGGCAAGAAGAGGTAAATCATTTTGTTTCGTTAATTATAGTTATATAAAGAAAACGTGGAATTGATGTTTTTTTCTTTTCCCAGGTTTGTGACAGTGATGCAGACACAACACACAGGCATGCCATCGTCAATTGATAGACTTCGTCTTGAAAAGGTTAATCACATTTCATGCTTACAAGTTACAATTAGTGTATTGTAAGGTCTGGCCCTGCATTTTTCATACTTTATGTTTCTCATTGCCTTTCTGTTTCTGCTCTGGAACATAATCACTATATACTTCGATCCTCTACGTATGCATGTGCAGCAAAATTCAGTGATTGTTTTCTATATTTCAGTTGATTGGAGCTGACATGGAGGATGCTGATTTCTCTGTTGTTGAGCCTGGTAGAGACAAAAACAGGTCAAGGAAAATTGGAAAAGGGATTGATTTTAAGACACCGGAATCTAAACAATCCAGCCAAAGAAAGACACCGAAGACCTCAGCCAAACGTGGCAGTGGAAAAATGGATTCATATGCTAATGCACCAGTATCATTTGTGTCAAGTGGTGTAATGCAATCAGCAACTGAGAGTGTAACTGTTGACTCAATAGACGCAAGTTGCAAAAGCAAGGCTGTTGCTGAGTCAACTGAATATCGTTCGTTTGAGGTACACACTAAGGGTTTTGGATCGAAAATGCTGGCTAAAATGGGATATATCGAAGGTGGTGGATTAGGAAAAGATGGACAAGGCATGGCTGCGCCCATTGAAGTGATCCAACGGCCTAAATCACTTGGGTTGGGTGTGGAGTTCCCCAGCCCCGTTGAGATCCCAGTCAGTAGAACACCCCCAGTCAAGAATAACGCAGTAAAGAGTAACCCGATAAGAAGCAGATCTCAAACTCAGAGTCAAAGAGTCGGAGCTTTTGAAAGGCATACCAAAGGATTTGGCTCGAAGATGATGGCGAAGATGGGATTTGTTGAAGGCACTGGATTGGGGAAAGATTCACAAGGCATTGTCAACCCTCTAGCTGCAGTCAGGCTACCAAAGTCGAGGGGATTAGGTGCCTCAGGTTAAGTTAATTTTAATTTATATTTGCTTACTTGTAGAACTTTTGTCATTGAAAATAAAACGTGGTAGGGTTACCATCAAAAGCCACAAAGTTTTAAATGTCTTCTTTACGAGAAAACCTTTCTGCCCCGGTTTTACTGTCCCTGGTTCGCCTTCTTTCCATCTCTCTCCTCACGTGATAGGCCAAAGGAGGAGACACGAAGGGATGTTGAAACGGGGGCAGGGAAGTATTTTTCCGGTTCGGGGCTGGTTTCGAGAGCCATGGTCTTCTTAAGTACTCTTCATCCTTTTGCATCTGAATTATCTTGCAAGCAATCATATGGTGCACCAAATTTGTGATTCCATTAGATGGCACTGGAAATTGGAATTGCCTCTCCACCTTTTTGTTTATTATTAGTTGAATAGGACTTATCATATGCACATGAAAGAATAACATCAACTTGTCTAATTCGACACAATCTGAGGACATAATTGTTTAAAATATGGCCAATGACTTCATATGCTGGCTTGGGCCAGTTGTTAAACTCTGCTCGTTCTTTTGCATCTGAATTTGAATCATCTTTTATCAAAACGAGACGTTTTCTTGTTATTTACATTTAAATTCGAATCCTCTATTATCAAAACGTGAAAACGATTCATTTGCATGCTATGTATTATATCTTACATGTTCTACTAGTTTTATGTTTTTCGAGTAGGAGAAAATTACCAACGGGCAAGCTCAAATCCATTAACCAACTCATTGACAAAAAAAAAAAAAAAAAAAAAAAATCCATTGACTAACTCATGAATCCTAGTGTTTGATTCTTGGTAATTTTAATTTTGAAGTTTATACTAATTGGACAAAGTCACATCAGAATATTAAATTTACTTCATGACTTAAATAACGTAACATTTTGTTAATTATTCAAAAATTGTATTATTTGGTCAGATGGAGACTATATAGGTAAGTCTCATTACTGAGCGGTTTATCGTAAATTTTATAAAAATCATATGCAACAGGACCTCTTTCTTTATTTGATTTCTAATCTCTTTAACCGACGTGTTAATGACTTAACAACAACGTTCTCAAATAAATAAATGTGACAAAAAAAAAAAATTAAGTCTCACTGAGGAAAAATTAGGCAAAATGGCAATTCTTGGAAAATGACATAAATTTAATTAATTAAAATGGTAAATGGAGGGCCGAGATATGTCCAGAAAAAGGCCAAAAGTTTGGCACCCTTTTGAAAATCCAACCTTATAAAACTTGCACCCCAGATTCCTCTCACTCGCATTTGCGGAGCTTCGAGATCTCGCTCTGCTGCTCCACTTCTCAGAACGCGCTCTTCAGGTCGTCCATGTCTGATACTCCAATAAAGGTCAGTGCAGATCCTTCCTCATTTCATTTGGGTATAAAGAAAAAGATGGAGTTTTTATGTCTTTTGCTGCTTATTTGGTTGTTTATAGATCTTTAATGATGTGCAAGTTATGGTTTTGATTGGCTTTTGTGATTGAATTTTGGTTGAATTTGAAAACCCATATGGAAATTGTGCTGATTTTTTGTTTTTGTTGCGTATTTTCACTTCTGGGTTCCCCCAGATCTGACTCAAACATTGAAGAATGGACGTTTCTCATCGATTCACGATCTGTGCTTTTACCGTTTTGTTGATTTTTGAATCCGGATATGGGTTTTACCTTCCGGGTAGTTACCCTCACAAGTACCTTGTTGGGAGCAAGTTAGGGGTGAAAGTGAATTCTCTGACTTCCATTGATACCGAGCTGCCCTATAGCTATTACAGTCTCCCCTTTTGTCAGCCCCCAGATGGTGTTAAGGACAGTGCCGAGAACCTTGGTGAGTTCCTTATGGGGGACCGCATTGAGAACTCTCCATATCGGTTTAAGATGCACACCAATGAGACTGAGATCTTCTTGTGTGAGACGGGTCCATTGTCGGCAGATAAGTTCAGTCTCTTGAAGCAGAGGATTGATGAGATGTATCAGGTCAATCTGATTCTTGATAATTTGCCTGCGATCCGGTATACCAAGAAGGAGGGATTTTTGTTGCGGTGGACTGGGTATCCTGTGGGAATTAAGGTTAAGGATGTGTACTATGTGTTTAACCATTTAAAGTTTAAGGTGCTTGTTCATAGATATGAAGAGCCCAACGTAGCACGTGTGATGGGTACTGGCGATGGGTCGGAGGTGATCCCAGCAGTTGCTAAATCAGATTCGGATGAGCCTGGTTATATCATTGTTGGGTTTGAGGTGATACCTTGCAGTTTCATGCACAATGTGGATTCTGTGAAGAAGTTGAAAATGTATGAAAAGTACCCTGCAAAGATACAGTGTGATCCCACCACTGTGGCAATGCCGATTAATGAAAAGCAGTCGGTCGTATTCACATATGAGGTTGAATTCGAGGAGAGTGACATCAAGTGGCCCTCACGGTGGGATGCTTATTTGAAGATGGAGGGATCCAAAGTCCATTGGTTCTCTATTCTCAATTCTCTGATGGTGATTACTTTCCTTGCTGGTATTGTCCTTGTGATCTTCTTGAGAACTGTTCGGCGGGATCTTACTCGTTATGAAGAGCTTGACAAAGAGGCCCAAGCACAGATGAATGAGGAGCTGTCTGGCTGGAAGCTTGTTGTAGGGGATGTTTTCCGTGCTCCAAGCAACCCTGCCCTGTTGTGTATAATGGTTGGTGATGGTGTTCAGATCCTTGGGATGGCAGTGGTGACCATACTTTTTGCTGCTCTGGGGTTCATGTCGCCTGCTTCTCGTGGGACACTTATTACAGGTATGCTGTTTTTCTTTATGATCCTTGGTGGTGCAGCTGGTTATGTTGCTGTTCGTCTTTGGAGGACAATTGGCTGTGGAGATCACAAGGGATGGGTTTCGGTCTCATGGAAGGTTGCTTGTTTCTTCCCCGGAATTGCCTTTTTGATTCTGACCACTTTGAATTTCCTGTTGTGGGGTAGTCACAGCACAGGAGCCATTCCATTTTCTATCTTTGTTATTCTCCTTTTGCTGTGGTTCTGCATTTCTGTTCCCCTTACTCTTGTTGGTGGATACCTTGGGGCCAAGGCACCTCACATAGAGTACCCAGTTCGAACCAATCAAATTCCTAGGGAAATCCCTGCGCAGAAATACCCGTCCTGGCTGTTGGTTCTTGGGGCTGGCACTCTCCCCTTTGGCACCCTATTCATTGAGCTCTTCTTTATCATGTCCAGCATTTGGATGGGCCGTGTCTATTATGTGTTTGGGTTTCTCTTCATCGTATTGATCCTTCTCGTTGTGGTCTGTGCTGAGGTTTCTCTGGTTCTAACCTACATGCATCTTTGTGTGGAGGACTGGAAATGGTGGTGGAAGTCATTCTTTGCTTCTGGTTCGGTTGCCATATACATTTTCCTGTACTCCGTAAACTACCTTGTATTTGATCTCAAGAGCCTGAGCGGACCTGTCTCTGCGACTCTTTACTTGGGGTATTCGCTCCTCATGGTTGTGGCGATCATGCTTGCGACAGGCACAGTCGGGTTCCTCTCTTCGTTCTGGTTCGTGCACTACCTGTTCTCTTCGGTGAAGCTGGACTGAAGAACGTTTAGCAACTCAGAAGATCAGCAAGTAAAGAAGAGTTACCGGCGATCATTCGTGGAAGACAGAGTGCAAACTTTTACAGATGTTCTATCCTGTGTTACTTTTCATTTCTATCGCGTTAGGGAACTTAGTTCGTTCTAATAACCAATGTTTCGTCCAGTTTTGCTAAATTCTTTAATAGATGAACATCACACTATCGATTATAGCTCGATACGGACGTTTATTTGCAGCAAGTGTTTTTGGAATCTAAAGATATTTTCTCTGATTCAGTCATTTAAAAGTACTTTTAAACGAGCTTGTAGTTTTCAAAGAGGGAGAATCCAATTCGAATCTTATACCTTAAAAACATACATACTCCAAATTTAGACTAGTTAAATATTTTGCATTGAGAAGGGTTTGTCCGGGCACACAGTGGTACCCGATTTTGTTTGGGACTATTTCTCTTAATCGCGAAATTCGATCACTTGTCAACTACGAAACTTAAAAATCTCTCGCTTAACGTAGTACTAAATGATTCAAATGTTGTTAGCATTTTTTTCTTATAAAAAACATAGTAGTTTTTTTTTTTTTTTTTGGGTCAAACGTTATTAGAAACATTTTTATTCATCTGAACTCTTCCTGAGAATTTATTTTCCTGATGGAAATAAATTAACGTTGTCATCATTAGCATCCAACTTTTCTAATTCATCCAATATTAAATAAATTTAATAGATCTTGAATAGTAATGTTTTTCAGTGTGCCGAGAATACGGCATGATACACAAAATATTATAATACAAATGATTGGATACTTGAAAAACAAAATTGCAACCATTTGTATTATAATGCTTCGTGTGCGTAGTAGTATTCTCGTTACATTAAAAAACCTTGAATAGGGGAGGACAAAAATGTCAATCCCACCTTAAAGGGTAGAGCCTTTTTCAACAGAGAAAACCAGAACTAGTGGTGTCAGTTTTTCGGTTAGCTTCAGCCGCTTATAGTTCTTAGCCTCCTCCCTCCCTCTCCCTCTCCCTCTCCCTCTCATTCACACAGAGAGAGAAGAAGAAAGAATGTTGCTCCACTCTCTCTCTCCTCTTCACTCCTCCAATGTCTACTCTCCCTCTCTCTTCCCCTTCCCTCCCTCTCCCTCTCTTTCCTCTTCTTCTTCTTCCTCTCTCTCCCTCGAAACGTCTTCGAACCGTATCTGCTCTCTGCGTCTCTACAGCAATGCCCATTTGAGGATCACCTACAAATCCAACGTAGAGAAATAAAAAAACACATCGACGTTGTGTTTATGTTTATGTCAATTTTCTCTTCTTCTTAATCAACAATGTTTGTTGTGTATTTTGTGCTCCGTTTTTTGGCAGGGACTGAAGCTCAACTGTTCTCTGAAAGAGCCTCTGAAGGTGATGATATCCGGTGCACCGGCGTCCGGCAAAGGCACTCAATGTGAATTGATTGTCAACAAGGTAACCGTTTCAGGATCCGTTCCGGATTGCTTCTTTAGAAAACACTTGTTTTATGCTAGAAGTGCTTTTATTATTAACACATTGAAATCTTTTTTAAAAATCCAAGTGCTTTCCCGGAAGGCGCTTCTATGACCCCTAAACGCTTTTAAGTTTTTCTGCTAAACATAGGCAGAAGCGCTTTTATTGTCAAAATGTACTTTTAGCCTTTTTAGCCGTTACAGAAGTAGTCCCAAACGAGCTATAATATACAAGGCCTTGCATTCTTCAGTTTGGATTGGTACACATATCAACGGGGGACCTTCTCAGAGCTGAAGTGTCATCCGGGACGGAAATTGGAAACAAGGCCAAAGAGTTCATGAATGCCGGTCGTCTGGTCCCCGATGAAGTCGTGACAGCGGTATTATTCCATGAACTCATCATGACTGAAAATCTCACATTATTCGTAATCGTATCATAGATTCATAATCACTTGCTTTTGTAGATGGTGACAGCACGGTTATCACGCGATGATACAAAGGAAAAAGGGTGGCTTCTTGATGGATATCCGCGGAGTTTTGAACAAGCGCAAAGTCTGCAAAAATTGAAGATTATACCAGATGTGTACATTGTGTTAGATGTATGTGAGTCTCATATATAACGAGTGTTATCTGCTTAAACCGATTGCCATCAAAACTTTCTCCTCAAGTAACCTAGTTTCACGTTCGATTCTTTCTTTCTAGAAGCATTTAAGTCATCGTTTTAAGGAAGCTGACTAAAGCTTCTAAGTTTGCTTAATTTCCTATGATGTATGTTAGCTGTTTCATTTGATTCAAACTCATAAAATCGAAGTTTTGTGAGCGACATTTGAGTAGAAAATCATTAATTTTCTAAAACAAGTAGTTTTGTATGTGTAATATATAGAAGTTATTTCGATTTGTCACCTCAATTCCTTCTGTATGAACTTTGTACAAATAGAATTGATCTTTACATAGTTTTTATTCCGTAATACTCAGGTTCCTGATGAAACTCTAATCGACAGATGTGTTGGAAGAAGGCTAGACCCAGTTACAGGGAAGATCTACCATATAAAAAGTTTCCCTCCGGAGACTGAGGAGATTAAAGCAAGACTTATTACTCGTCCTGATGACACCGAGGAAAAAGTATGATTTGAACATCTTGAATTTCTAATTTCTAATTTCCGGTAACTTGTAAGCGATTTCATATGTTATGTGGCAAAACTTTGGAGCAGTTAAACTCAATTGGTACCTCAAAATCTTTTGAGCTTATTCTGTTTGCCGTCTAGGTGAAGTCGCGTCTTGAAATATACAAGAAAAATGCAGATTCAATCTCAGCCACATACTCGAATATCATGAAAAAGGTGTTTGTTAATTGACATCTTGTATATCATTTTTCCTTTTACCATTGTTGTATATGAATCTCTGTAAACAACTTTATGCTTTACACTATATCGTTTGAAACACAGATCGATGGAAACCATTCGAAGGATGTTGTTTTCGAAGTAATAGGCTCTATACTATCGCAAGTGCAGAAAGATAAAGAAATGAAGATCAAATTAGGTAACTCTCTTCAGAATCTGAAGCACATTTCTATGAGTTTCGCTGACTTAAATCATTAATACTTGGAACCGAGTCTTAATCTGTTTTCGGTCATGTTACTTTTACCTAAATGACTTTCAATTTCAATGTTGCATGATGATTTTTATACGCATCTAAAGTTTGAAGAGAGCAGTGACCTAGTAAAATCATACTGAAATTCGAAATTTTCCGTTCTCCACGAATTAACTTAACTTGTGTGGTTTGTCAAATTCCATCTCTCTCTCTCTCTCTGCACTAGGAAAAAGTTGGAGTGGCTCAAATCCGTCTTCAGTTGAGGTATATGTCTAGTTAATTCAGTGTGACAGTTTTGCTATCAAATCAGCCATCGTTAATCCAGATAAGTAATATGTTATGGTTCTGTTCAATTTTTCTTTCCCAATTTTACAGGATAACTGGAGGGGAATTCCTACTAAATTGAATAACGTTCCACATTCTCGAGAAATCAGGAAATATTTCTATGAGGATGTGCTGCAGGCCACCAAAAGAGCAATAAACGATGGAAGAACTCGACTAAAGGTTTCTTACCGGTCATTTCTACTTACAGTGCATGTATGATCACATATAAAACCATTGGTCTCGAAAGGCATGTTAAAGTACACATCTTATTTCCAAATTGGCAGGTAGAGATCAATATTCCGGAGCTGAACCCAGAAATGGTAAGGGGGCATATACCTTAGTTTTCTCAAATCTGTTTGGAGTTGACTATATCTTATGATCAACAGGATGTTTATCGAATAGGAACCTTAACGGAACTTGTTCGAACTATTGCTCTTTCATTTGCAGATGATGGGAAACATGTCAAGGTAATTTGATCCTGGTGGTTTAGATTAGTGACCAATGATGATTTAAGCTTTGCTTGCATTCATTCAAATTTTTCCTTGTCAGGTTTGTGTTCAAGGCTCGATGGGGGAAGGTGCTCTTGCTGGAATGCCATTACAGCTTGCTGGTACTCGAAAAATATTGGAGTTCATGGACTGGGGTGAATACGAAGCTATGGGGACGTTCATCAACATTGGTTCTATAGGTACAGAAATGTTACGCATCCGTCTGCTAAACAGTTGATGTTCATTTTACGTCAGTATATTACATTATCCGACTTGCCTTGAGACATTAGATTCATGATCTTCCTTTATAAATTTACGAAAAATGTATACATCAACGCAACATTTCTACATATCAAGTGCAGGTGGCAAAGAGGTAGAAGAGCAAGATGACCTGTTTATCTTAGTAGCTCCTCAGAATGCTGTTGGGAATTGTATTATTGATGTAAGTATATATATCTCGAGGGTCGAATACTCCACGACTATATTCGTAGAGAGCAAAATTGTACTTGACATGGCTTTCTTTCTACCTTTCTGTTGTTATTAAGAGCCCTTTGCTTAAATTTACAGGATCTAAGAGCCATGACTGATGCTGCAGGGAACCGACCAGTAATTCTTATCAATCCTAGGCTCAAGGTTAGTTTCTATACTACATTTGATGAAATGATTTGCGCTCGGGATTGCTTATAGCCGCAAGTGTTAAGCAACACTAAGAAATTTTTTCCTTTTAAGTGGACATACTGATGAAAGTTTTTAAATTTCAGGATTTACCCGCTTCGAGTGGAATCATGCAAGTAAGTGAAGAACTCGTGACCTGAATTAAATTCATAGAAACCGATCAGTTTCTTGACTATGTCTCGTTTTATAGACCATGGGACGCGACAAGAGATTGGAGTATGCTTCATCATTCGAAAATTGCTATTTCTTTCGGCTTCTCTATTATGCAGGAACCCAGTATCCAATTATGGGTGCTCTCCGGTAAGCTTAGCGCAACTTTCTGCTCCACTACTTCCATTTACTACTCTCGCACACTCATAAATACATGTGTTTGAGGTCGTGAAGAATTGTCTCACATCGGAAAGTTAAAAAAAACTTGCATCCAAAGAATCTGCAAATGTACTAGCTTGCAACGCAAGAAAATGGGTCAATTATGTTATTTGTCTCCTGCAATGTGCCATGCCTGAAACGTTACGATCTTATGTTGAATGACATTTATAAGTGTTCTCTGTAAGAACTTGTTAACAAACAAACACCAAGACCAAAACATGAACCACAAACAAAAGGAAACCAACCCAGTTATGTGCACATAAATAACCAGAAAGGAAAACATACCTGCAGCTGCACCAGAACTCGTAGCCATTGCAGCGAACTTTCAGTGATCCTTCTCTTCTCTTGCAGATTGTCAAGAGCTCGACTCACAGATAGGTTATGGTCCAATATGAGCGTTAGTTTTGTGAGAAGAGAGGTCACTATATATATACATATAGACTTCACCAAAATAGATCAGGATTTCCTATCAAAATCCTCATCGGAAACAAACACTTGTTTCCTGATGCTAACCAAAATCCTTTTCAGTCAAGGATCAGCATTCCTTTCATCAATAGGACTTTCTATCCAAATTGAATACCTATAACCTGTCCTAAAACTTCTCTATCTCATACTCATATTCTTACATTCTCCCACTTGAGTATGAGAACAGTTTCAAGTACTCAGTTTATCCAATCATACTTAGATAGAAGTGATCACTAACAGATAATCATCTCAAATTATTATAAAGGTGATCACATAATTAAGTCATTCACCAACACACAAATACATAGACACAACCAACTTACATAACCAAAACAATGAATTTATAATTGCCTCTGCAACATAAAATACAGATTTAACTTACAAATCACAATGTCCAGTTCATGTTCATAGCAATGTATCTAAGCTCAAAAGTAAACCAAGACATCTGCTCCCACTCATATAGCCACCAAATCTTTTGGATAACAAAAGTTTAACCTCACATACATCTTACCCATGCATTTTAAAGTATTGAACTTAAGAATCTTTTCTGTTACATCGCAGAATTAACTCAAAAGTCACAACATACTTAATTTGCACTTTGTAATTATGTGAACCAATATAGCAAAACCAAACCAATTTGCTCCCACTTATCTAGGCTATACTTAACACAAACAAGTTAAGTATAAGTTAATATCAACTGTATTAACTAACAGTCATTGCAATACACTGAATGTCTTATCAATGTGATCAATTGCCGCAACCAATATGCAAACAAATTTCATGATCACATTCATTCAATTTGTATTTACAACAATGTGATTTTACTTGACCAGAACAAACACATAAATTGATTTGCTCCCACTATATCAAGTTAAGTTTAGTTCCGGTAAATAACACTAAACTTCTCATTACTTAAACAAATTAAGTAACATAAATAATTACCAATTGCTTCAATAAAACCATAATCTAGTTTTCAAGCATCCAAATGAATTATAATGGCCGGCCTAAGTAACCTTATGCTTACATTCGAACATATGATTTCTCCACTTAAGCATAAGCAGAATGTACTGCACAGCCAATAAAGAAACCGGAGATATGAACCAATTGATTCCCGATTCCTTACCAATTGCATAATCTCAGTTTAGTCAAATACACCTAAACCATTATGCAAACAGTCTATGTATCAAAAGATAGTCACAATCCATTCGGAAAAACTTATCTCACATAAACCCAAAATCACCAGTTTCAACAATGATCAAAATCAGAATAGCAAGCACAATATTCTTGCATTCAATTTGATCCTAACTAGTTCAATACCCATCGAGCAAGATCAACTAAAATTTGATAATGTGTCTGGATATAAAGGCACAAGTCATCTTGATTAAAACAAGATAATCAAGATCTCAACCTCCCTTTTTTTTTTTTTTTTTTTTTTTTTTTTTTAAGGAACTTAAGATAATCGTCCAATAAAATTTAGTGTACTTATAGATTTAATACATAATATCAAATCTCTTACACTTACACTTACAATATATCAAGTGAGATGAGTTTCAGAATGCATTCTTGCCAACAAACAACTTATATCATTTCATACAGGTACTAACACAAGAGCCTTCACATGTTTTTAGTTATACAGTGCACATATTGGCATTAACAAACCCAAAGATTCTGAACTACATCATTCACATATATGGCAACACCCCCAAAATCTATTATATGTAGTCTAACCAAAATTGGAATATGAATTACACTCATAATTTTAAAAACGTCATTATGGATACTCGTATAATCCAATTTTGCTTTTCTAGAATAATTCAAACCAATCAGACCCACATAAAAGCCACAGGTATTTGGTAGCAACAATAAGTCAAATTCTATTATCATAATTCATAATGGAAAATCATGATGCAAGCTTCTAAGTTTCAAGCAAGTTAATGAGAAATCTTACATCTGCTTGAGACAACAAAATAGCTACAAAACAATATTTTCCACCCAATCTAATTACACAAGCTCTAACTCAAAAATAGAAGAGCAATGTGTACATCAAATATTAGTCTAATGAATCTTTATGCAGAAAGAATGATTCCAGTCATCTCACATAAATCATAAGTTGGCATCTATAGGGATTTCGAGTTTAATCGTGCCTTCACAAAATAAACAAGCATACTCAGAATAGCAAAAGCCCTAATTCATTATGCTCAAACTCATCGCACTATAATCACGCATATAGGAGAACAATTAATTATGCATGAAACAGTGAACTGAGTTACCTGAATGCATCATTGGACTCATATTCGACAACCCGATCGCAATTCCTCGGCTCCAAATCAACGAAACAAATTATCCATCAATGCTCAAGACCCATCCATACGGATTGCCATTACTCCCAATTCCCATGGACCTCGTACCATTGCAATAATAGAATGACGAACGAGTTAACGTCAATATGAAGAACCAGAATAATAATATAATCTCAATATGCAGATAACATGATCTTTGTTCAATGGTTTTTAACAACATAATTAGTTGATCATAATACATCTTTATTCTTACAAAGGATTAAGAAACCACAATTACCTCAATCTGTAGAACTCATAATAAACACAGCGGAAGCAATAATTCTCAACAATTAGAACTATGATGTTTAAGATAGATGTATACAACTAAATTACTATACTTATCATCAAATAAGCAAATCATGGAAAAAAAAATTTTCTCAACCCCATATTGACAAAACACGAGTTTCTCCCTTTCCAGACTAATCACGGTCAAAAATTGAACTAAAGGTTATTTCTTAAACGGTGTCGTACCACTCGCCTTTAAAAACCAATTAAACAGACTTGTTCTTCAAACCAGTTCGTATGCTGCAGCAATCATATAATCCTTAGACACCAAATAATGGTGTCTCATATATGTGATAAACAGTTTAAAACGATCAAAGTTAAATCAAGGTCCAAAATTTGTATTCAAAACTGATATCTTTAATATGTTTCTGCAGCAATCAATTAAAAAACAAACTGTAGCGACAAAACTCATTCATATGCTCTTAAACATACACAGGTATCAGAGAGAATCGAAAGCATCGAAAGCATTTATCTCCATACCTTTTAATCACTGATTTTCAAATTCACGAAAGGAACCGCGGAAGCGATTTAGAATTTGAAAAATAGAAGATTTTAACATTTTAAGGAAAAACCCAGATCGATATTCATTGAAGGAATCAAAACTGACCGTAATCTGGGAAAAACTCTCATTCGGCAATGGTTTATAGAGCCGTTATTTATTTATTTATTTATAAACACATTCGACTTTTCTCCTTTACAGATTTGAACTCATGTTTTGTGTCTTGCGGCTCTGATACCACATGTAAGAACTTGTTAACAAACAAACACCAAGACCAAAACATGAACCACAAACAAAAGGAAACCAACCCAGTTATGTGCACATAAATAACCAGAAAGGAAAACATACCTGCAGCTGCACCAGAACTCGTAGCCATTGCAGCGAACTTTCAGTGATCTCTTCTCTTGCAGATTGTCAAGAGCTCGACTCACAGATAGGTTATGGTCCAATATGAGCGTTAGTTCTGTGAGAAGAGAGGTCACTATATATATACATATAGACTTCACCAAAATAGATCAGGATTTCCTATCAAAATCCTCATCGGAAACAAACACTTGTTTCATGATGCTAACCAAAATCCTTTTCAGTCAAGGATCAGCATTCCTTTCATCAATAGGACTTTCTATCCAAATTGAATACCTATAACCTGTCCTAAAACTTCTCTATCTCATACTCATATTCTTACATTCTCATCACTTGTCACCTCGTGTTTTAGGTTTTCTTACCCGTATCGCTACGAACTGTACAAGAGGGTGGAAGATCCTTACGGGAAAGAGAAGTACGTAATATTGTCTACATTCCCCGAAAAGCCAAGTATTGATGAAGTGAACGATGCATTTGAAGGAAAGCCTAGGTAACTCTCTCGTTGAAGATTATATGTTCGTTATTTTCGTTTAATTTGAAAGACCAGCATTTCCCTGACCGAACGTTTTCATTTCGATCAAACTTTTGCAGAAATGAAAGCAAGAAAGCCGTAGGATTTTGGTAAGAAATTAAACGTTCAAATAGTTGCGGAAGTTTGTAGGTACAATGTTCTGCTATGCTGTTTTAACTGTTTTCTTTGCCTTGTAGGGGATTCTTGAGTGGTATATTTTGAGGTGGAATCTTTAGGAAGGTGATCGGGGACTGAAGAAAAAACATGTAAAATATGTCTCATCAGCAAGTTCTCACATAAGAGCCGCGAACTAAGCATACTGGGGTAAAGAGTGAATGTTGTTAACCAATTGAGTTACGTTTGAGTCACTTGTAACATGTTTTTTTTTTTGTATTTGTGCTTGATGCATTCATTGCGTGTATATATATGTATATGTATATGCATGATATATTCATACGACCATTAGCCACAAAACTAGTTATTTATAATTTTATACCGAACTTATCATTAATGAGAATCGAACTTAAAGGATTTTCCTTTTACAAACTAACAAAAAAGAAAAAATAAATAAAGAACCTAAATTTGCAGAAGCCATACAACTCACCAAGTGATCAATTTGTGGCTCACATAGCCCAACGTATCATATATGGCATGGACCACTGGATAAGACCCAGAGTAAGGATATTAAATAATTAGAAATCTATTCGTTTTTTTTTTGGTATTCAAAAGATGATAATGGTTTAAGCGAGTCGAACTACACATAAAATTTAGTTGTTTGACTATAATATAAAAGTATTACTCTCTACACAAGGTAGAAAGAATAACTAAGACCTCGAGATTAGCCATCAACTACAAGCAAGCTACTTCTTTTCCGTTAAGAACGAGTAGAAAATTTTAACTCCTTGAGTATTACATAAATTTATTCAGTTCCATTTTTTTTAAAGAATCTCGACGGTATAAAAAAAAATTTATTAATAAATATGACCATGATGAATGAGATCTTTCTAGGTTTTTTTTTTTAAGGGAGATTTTTTATGTTGATTGGACCCCATAGATTATCACACCAGCACGCAACATTGTGCATATGTACTTCTTGCTAATTAATTATAATATCAAGTAAAAACCTAACCTTCTTATATTTGGAAACCTAATCAACTAACACAAATCAAATGAGATGGTGAATGCTTTTCTTTTTCTTGGTTTTCTTGATAAGTAAGAATATAGGGAACTTTAACGAAAAGCACTCGGTACTGTTCATTTTAACGAAAAACCACATTTTTACACTAAAAAGTCAATCCTGATACTATTCACTTTACCCTTTATTTTGTCCTTATCATTAAAACTCAAAGTTTTCAAGCCCTTTTCATTAGTTTTCCAAAGAATATATGACAAACTTGCAAGTATCATTTTATTTTTATCATCCACTCACACTGAAGTTCCGTAAAAGCAAAAAACATCTCAAATTCTTGAATGGATCGTCACAGCATGAATCAGGTGAATGAAAAATTAGGCGTATAATTAAGAACATGACTAACAAGAATTCTTGTATACTATACTTGGGTCTAATAGTCAGAAAAATAAAAAAAGTTGTTGTGAGTTATAACTTGCTCTATGTTTACAAATATACTTTTATAAACAAGTTAAACTCATCTAATAAAAGTTACAACTGGTCGCAATTTAGTGTCGAAATCATTACAACTATATATCATTTTTGCATATCCATGAGCTAACTTGAAAACTTCTCTTATCAAATGAAGATCAGATACCATTAAATCAACTAATCACATGTTTAGGAAATTCAACTTTTAAGAATTTTTTACGGTACATGCATATATATACTTAATACATTCAACATCTGACGATCTGATATGCGACCAAAAAAAATAAAAAATATCATATATATAAACGTATCTAATTGTTAAATAACAAATATATTAATTATATGCATGTATCGTAAGTCCGTAACCAGTTTTCAAAATACGAGGAATGAAGAAAAGCTTCGCAGTTACTTTTAAAGATTGCCTAATATTTTCATTCATCTTTTTGCTTCTTTTTTTTCCTACCACTTATGATTGCCCTGCAATACTAGGACCAGAATGACTGGGATATTCCACAAGAATCAATCAAACACAAACAAGACTAACTCCGGCGTCCCCACGTTTTCTACCCACTACCACATTTCAGCTTCCACCTTAATGAATCGGGATCCTCGTTGGATCTTCCTTGTAAAAATATCAGAGATATGTGAATTGTGCTCGTTCATCATATATTATGCGATCAAAAATTATTTTAAAATTTTTATTTAAAATTAAATATAAATAGTACTTGATAAAAATTAATCACGATTCATGAATTCTCATTATCATTACCAAAAGGATCCTGTTGGCACCTTAATCACTCTTTCTCTTTTAAGTGTCAATCATACACACGTTGCCCTTACAGTGGATATTGAATTGACCCCATAAAGCAAATAAAGTATAATACTATGTCACTCCCACAATAATCATTCAATGGTCGTACTCACCAACTACAATCATTCAAGCCTGCAACCGTCAGCAGGACGAGAAATTGTTGTATTGTATTGATAGGATCATTTAGTCTAATTGATGTCAGTGGTATAATATGTGAAGTGTCTATAGGAACGTGGATTTAATATGTATAGTCCTGAAATACGAATATCTAATTTAATCAGTTCAAATGTTATAATATGTGAATTGGCTATAGGACGTGGATTTATATAAGAATATATAGAATTTTGTTTTAAATAGAGAAAAATTAGTTCTTCGGTAATAGTAGCGTGCAAGACACTTACTCTTTTTTAAAGAGATGAGGACCATTACATCCAGAAACTCCCTTCCCATCCCTCCTCCAACAATTTTATTGATAACAAATGAAGTAAACGAAAAAGATAAAGGCGGGGGACTATGCCAAGACCGCAAAGATAGAAACGATCAACAAAAACAATAATCAAAATAAAACGAATTGTCACGAGCATGAGTAAAAGCTACAAAATCTGGAATCATAAATCACTAATTATAAGCATAATTATCTGCCTCAAAAGAAGTTAAGTATCTGCAACCTAATTTATTTCTCTATAACTATGCATACACATAAATCGCATTTGAGGAGGCCGTTATCGACAATTCATCCAATCCATCATAAAAAATCACAGAACCGCATTAGAACCCTTAAAAAGTAAAGAAAGCACACTGCTACAGTATTAGTGTATCACTAAATATACCTATTATGTAACATATGAACTGGCTATACGACGTGATCGCGCTCCACCATCCAAAAAAATGCCCTCTGTCATCTTTCTTATTTTTTCCTTTTTCATGCGTTACGTGTAATCCAAAGCATCATACTTTAGTACAACCAAATTCCAAACAAAGAAGACAATATTTGAGAACCTGCACCAAATATGAAACCAAAAACATGCAACAAAGTCAGTTCAAGTGGAAAATTGCAAATCAACAAAAGAAAGCATGGACATTATTGACTCATCATAAACGTGAAGGGGGACCTGTCTCTATCTGATCAAGTTTCAGCTTGGTTGATATGAATTTATCAGTCAAAATCCTCGTTGGATCTCTGTGTTTGAAATTGACATATTCGAAAATTTAGACCGCTCAAGAAAAAATAATCTAAACAGAGAGAGAGCACAGCAGTACAAGGAGGATCCATAATATGGATTAAATCTCCTTTTTATAATTTAGATTAAACTAATGTATAATATCGTGGTTTCAAAGATAAATTTAAGGTTAGATATGTCACCAACTTCACATTGCAAAGAAACAAAGTGAGAATAAATTTAAGGTTAGATCCTCCTCCTTTCCCAGAAAGTTGAGAGTTTTTTTTTTTTTTTTCTCTCTCTCTCTCTTTCTTCTGTGTCGTAGCAGGAGCTATCTCCTCTCTGCTTGGAAATGGCGGGAGGGTCGTTCGCGCCGACCGGCGTGGCCAAGGAGAGGGCACAGCAGTACCAAGGGAGGCTCACCCCTTATGTCATCGTTGCCTGCATTGTTGCCGCCGTAGGCGGCTCTCTTTTCGGTTATGATATCGGAATTTCAGGTAACCTTTCACCTTTTTGTTGGCTAGCTCTTTGGTCTTTGCCTTTTTCAGGGTTTCATGAGGTAATCTACCGAGCCGTACAAGGAAAGAATTAGGGAATGATGACATGTAAGCAAAGTTAGTGGTGAAAAGTTCAGCTTTCTTACATGGTATCATAAATTTTGGGTAGCTGAAAATGGACAAAAAATATAGGTGCAACAGGGTGTATATCTCCTTGTGCTTATCTCTCTCCTCACGGTTGAGAAGAAGGGTCGAGGAGAGAGATATGCACAAAAAAAGGATATACAACTAGTTGCACTTAAGTTTCTTTTCTTAAAAAAAAAGTAAAAGGAGAACACATTCTTATTGTAACTTACAAATGTCAGGATGATATTGTGACGGTATCTCAAGTCAATCACATATTGCCACATGTTTTTAACTTTCCCACATAGCTGTGTGATTGATTTGAGGTACGATCACAATATAGTCTGGAATACCGCCACAGTGTCATCACCGTTGTAGGGAAGTTTTCGGACGGCCATAAAATCGGTAACATGTATGATCGTGCTTGTATGTGTGTGAAATATGGAAGCAGAAATCTTACTGAAGAATCTCTTCTAAATGTTTGGTTTTAACTTTCATTAGGCGGGGTTACGTCGATGGACGGATTTCTTAAGAAATTCTTCAAGACAGTGTACAAAAACAAGACGCATGCCCGGGAAAACAACTACTGCAAGTATGATAACCAGGGTCTTGCAGCGTTTACCTCTTCGCTGTACCTCGCCGGTTTAGTTGCATCTTTTGTGGCTTCTCCGGTCACAAGAAATTATGGACGCCGAGGAAGTATAATCTGTGGCGGAGTCAGTTTCCTCGTTGGAGCAACTCTAAACGCTTCAGCTGAGAATTTGGCCATGCTTCTCTTAGGTCGGATCATGCTTGGCGTTGGTATCGGATTTGGAAATCAGGTAACTAATTCACACAACCAATGACTTACTTCTGTCAACAAAATGTTCGTATAAAACTGATTTCTTCTGCTTGCTTGTTTGTCTTGAAGGCCATTCCGCTATATCTTTCAGAAATAGCGCCAACGCATCTTCGAGGAGCCTTAAACATGATGTTTCAGTTAGCAACCACGCTTGGGATCTTCACAGCCAACATGATAAACTACGGGACTCAAAAACTCGAGCCATGGGGGTGGAGGCTCTCGCTAGGGCTGGCTCTAGTACCAGCTGCGGTAATGACAGTCGGAGGAATATTTCTACCCGAGACACCAAATAGCTTGATCGAACGAGGATGTAAAGAAGAAGGAAGAAAAGTTTTGGAGAGAATTAGAGGAACCAAAAATGTCAGCGCAGAGTTTCAGGACATGATGGATGCAAGCGAGTTTGCCAATGCAATAAAGCACCCGTTCAGAAACATCCTCGAGCGAAGGAACAGGCCTCAGCTCGTTATGGCAATCTTCATGCCGACGTTCCAGATCCTCACGGGGATAAATTCGATTCTGTTCTACGCTCCCGTGTTGTTTCAAAGTATGGGGTTCGGAGGAAATGCTGCTCTGTACTCCTCTGCTTTGACCGGAGCAGTTCTTGTCACGTCTACGCTGATATCCATCGCAGCAGTTGACAAACTGGGACGAAGAGTTCTGCTCATTACTGGTGGAATACAAATGATTGTATGCCAGGTAAACTTCATTACAATTCAATTAGAAAAACTAATTGAAAGTTCTAAAGACGCTTAAACGCTTAGTACTCTCTTCTTCAACGCGAAACAGGTCGTAGTCGCGCTAGTCTTGGGGTTCAAGTTCGGGGACAATCAAGAACTGTCGAAAGGATTCTCAGTACTGGTGGTGGCCGTGATTTGCCTCTTCGTGATAGCTTTCGGGTATTCATGGGGTCCTCTCGGGTGGACAGTGCCGAGCGAGATCTTCCCTCTAGAAACCCGATCAGCTGGACAGAGCATTACAGTGTCTGTGAACCTTCTGTTCACTTTCATCATCGCCCAGTCGTTTCTCTCCCTCCTGTGCGCGCTCAAATTCGGGATCTTCCTCTTCTTCGCGGGATGGATTACTATCATGAGCGTGTTTGTTTACCTGTTTCTTCCCGAAACCAAGGGGATTCCGATCGAAGAGATGATACTGATGTGGAGAAGGCACTGGTTCTGGAAGAGGATAATGCCGGAAGAATATCCTGAAGCTGACGACTCCGTTAATGTCAGGCCAAACAATTCAACAATTTGAGATATTTTAGAGCATAATGAGGTGTAAATAAAGCAGATGATCGTTGCAATTCAGTTTTAAAGGGCTTGTTTTGGAAAGTACTTTTAAAATGATTAGAAGCGTTTTTAGTGAAAATATTTTTGAATTAATCCTCAGTAAAAATACAAGCGAATAAACCCAACTTTTATCCCTAAATGCAGTTTTAATCATTTTAAAAGCACCTTCAAACCATCCTAAAATATATTGAGTGGAAGCAGCCAACTAGCCTATTTCCCTTGAATCAATGTCCCTATATATGAAATTTCCGGGCACCTACATTACTCCCAACGGGGTTTTCTCCATTGCGAGGAAGTCGCGAGATGTGAGTAGCCAGTCGATCTGCCCAAGACGGACAACCAGCTGGTCGATCTGCCAAGGCGGACAACCAGCTACTCACATCCGTTACGGGATTTAAGTGGCCGAACAATCTGTATTGGGATGAGTATCGATCTGCCTACAGTGGAAACCGTCTACTCACATGTCAGTTGCGGGATTTGAGTAGCGGAAAATCGGCCGAATACTGGCGGGCAGTTGTTGCAGGCCGGTTGTGACGCAGGCAACCAACTCCTCACATATTGCGGGTTGCAAGTAGTCGGGTCTACGGCAGAGAATCGCTACCCAAATATCAGGATGTGAGTAGCCGAACATTCTACCCAATACATGGGAGAACCGGTGTGAGTAGCCGATCATTCTACCCGATACATGGGAGAACCGGCAACTCATATCCTGTTCGCCGGTTCACCGATTGATCTGTATTTCTTCCCAATACAGGCAGACAACCGGCTGCGAGTAGCCGGTAAACCTACAAATACAGTCAAACAACCGGCTACTCGCATATTTCGACACCATTTCTAACAAGAAAAACTCGTACAAATCCACATAAAGAACACCAGAATGATTGGCAAGGATTAAGCACAACATTTTATTCCTTGATGATTACTACTACATCATACAATATCTCTCTCTCTATACTTCTCTTTTCATCCAACCTTGTAAACATTTCTTGCACACTAAGTAAACTATACAAGGCACCAAGCACACAAACTTTCCTATTAATCTTCTTCCTTTGATTTGCACAAACCCTAGCAAGATATTTGCCCTAATCTTATCATCATTTGCTCGCACTCAATCAACTTTCCTCTTGAAAAAATAAAGGAAGCAAAGCGAACAATCATTACCAACTAACAGAAGAACCTTCAACGAGATTTTCCGGATCTCGGATTCATTTAACTTTCGATCAAACGATTCAAGCAGGCAGCCTTGCTAAATCACCATCGCTCACACCAAATCGAGCCGCAGCAGCCGGCGGAGATCGCTCGTTGCGGTGCCGTTCCTTCCCAAAAAAGCAGGCAGCGGCACCGAGCTCGGAGGCGGAGACGCGTAGAAAGCGCTCGATCCGGCATAAATCGCGTCCATGACCTTGAACTCGGCAGCTTTAATCTGCTTCTGCACGGTCTCCGGGTCGGGTCCCAAACGGTCCGTGGATCCCAAAACCAGATCCGGATCGTTTTCCTTGTTCGCCTTCGGCTTGCAATCGTCGCTGGCAACAACTCGTAGCCCTCGGTTGCCCTTCTCCGGGTTCAAAACCTCACCGCGCCTCAGGATCTTGACCTGTCCCGTCACAAGGTTTTTAACCGGCGCCTTCGCGACAACGGAGCGATCAGCGCACCGATCGCGAGGTCGGTCGTGCTGATTGGACTGAACCGCTATCGGACTCCTTTTCCGGCGGCGAGATTGATGAACATTGGCGGCGGGGCCATGGTTGGGGGCGGAATTAGGGTTAGGATTAGAGAAATTGGGGCTCCGTCGTGATCCGGAGCGGGGGGAGAGGGTTAGGGTTAGAGCTTCGTGGCGGAACCGACCTCGAAGGCAATCCTGCGATCGGAGAATCGCCGTCACCATTTTTTTCCCTCAGAAGAAGAAAGACAAGGAGAAAATTGAAAATTGCGAAAAAAAAAAAAAAATTTATTTAATTTCTTGATTTTCTGAAAATTTTGTTATCGGAGAAGAAATGCTATATTTTGCAAAGCATAGGGGAGCGTGTATTTATAGAGAGGTTCCGGTACGTCACGTGACGTCGCGTGAGGTTTGGAACCATCTCTGAGGCGCGTGGGCGGGTTAAGATTTTGACCGACGTGGTTTTGCAGTTATAGCGGGGGTTGAATTTACTGTATTGCACTGGTGTTTCACGAATTTACGAAGGCGACCAAGCAAGGTCTGCGCTGGCGTTTGTAATTTTGGAGTAAGAGAGGGGCAATGATGTGTGGTTCGATGCTTTAGTTGCCGTGAAGGGGACCGGAGAGCCACGCGTTAAAAAGTGAACGGGTGGAGTGGTTGATCTTGTCGACACGTGTTGACCGGGGTAACGGAGTTTTCCGTTTGGGCGGGTTTTGACTGGAATCGCGGTTTCGTAGAAGCTACGGCCTACGGAACAAGGGAAACAGTGGATCCGGGCTCCGGTGAGTGGGCTCTGGGTCTGTGTGTACCAACCACGTGTCTGGGCTAGGCAGATTATTGACCCATCAATGAATTGGACTGGATGTGTAACCAAAGGAAATTTAATTTGATTGGGTCCACTTTGGGTTGACAATAGTTGGGTATACCTACATAGCGTGAAGTAAAAGCTCGATTAGAAGTGATTTAAGAAAGAAAAAAAAAAAGGATAAATTTACTATCCTTATGTTTCATGGTTTTCAATATTTAGTACATTAAGTTTTTTTCATTACAAAGTTATACCTAAAGTGTAAATTTTGGGACAATCTCATACATCTGTTAGTCAAACCGTTAAATCTTTCGTTAACTGATGATGTAGTGCCCACGTGGATAATGAATGGCCGTCATGTGTCAATAAGGGTCCCACGTGGATATTAAAATTTTAAAAATTTAAAAATAATTACAAAAAAAAAGTTCTTCTCCTACAAACATCTTCTTTTCCATCCCTTCTCTAACCCTCCACTCTCTCCTCCTCTACACACCCTTTCCGCACACCATCTCCACTTTCTCTCTCTAACCCTCATATCCACACCCTCTCTGCACACCATCTCCACTTCACAGCTTATGGGCCACTCTACTTTGCCAAAGAGTTATTGAGTCGGGACCCCAAACTCGCTGTCGAGCTGGACTCCCGCGGTTCTTCGCCTTTTCACCTGACGGCGGCAAAAGGGTCAGTGGAAATGGTGAAAATCTAGTGTGAGTCAACCCATATATGGGTTTGGTGTTAGATCGCGATGGATTCACTCCCCTGCATTTGGAGGCGATTAAGGGGATAGTTGGTTGAGTTGCCCTGAGTCAAATTGGCGGCGAGGGTGTGCATAAGAGATAAGGGAAGGAGAGGGCCGGGGGTTGAGGTAGGGTGCCCATAAATTTTTTTTTTTTTTTTTTTTTTAAATTAAGTGGGTTGGGGGTTAAGGGAGGGAGAGGGTTGGGGGTTGGGGGTTGGGGGTTGAGGGAGGGAGAGGGTTGGATTTGCACATATGGGTGGAGGTCGAGAAGGGAGGGACGGTCGGGGTTGAGGAAGAACAACGTTTTTTTTTTCTTTTTCTTTTTTGGTTGTAATTTTGTAATTTTTTTTAATATCTACGTGGGACCCTTATTGACACGTAACGTTAGTCATTGTCTATGTGGGCGCCACGTCATCAATTAACGGAATACTTAACAGTTTGACTAATGGATGTATGAGACTGTCCCAAAATTTACACTTTAGATATGACTCTGGGACGAAAAAAACTTGATGTACTAAATATTGAAAACCACAAAACACGAGGGTAGTAAACTAATATTTACCCAAAAGAAAAACTATTAACGTTTTAATAATAATGTTTTTAGAGCCAATTCATAAGAATATGTAATTGAATTATGAAAAAAATACTTAAAGTACTTGTGAAATGCAAAAACATTTTTTTTCCAAAAATGCTTTCAATTATTTTAAAAACACTCACTACGAGGTGTAAAAACTTGGATCTATAGTATGCTATCCAAAACTAATAACATCTGAAACCTATCTATAAGCCCTGTAAAGAGCTTTATCTTCTTTTTGGGTCTAAGCCCTTCATTTCATTGCAGATGTAGCCATTTGAAAAAATTTGAAAAAAATTAAAGGAAAGATTATTAGAAGAGGTAAGATAATAGAATATGAAGAATTGAAATAAAATGAGGTATGATACTATAAAATGGTGAAAAGTACGTGAGAAATAGTGTAGTAAAGACTTAGGTATTTATAGGAAAAAAATTATTTTTTTTTGAAAATTCGTCCAAATTTTTTTTTTCAAATTCCAAGGGTAACCTGACGGCAGCATAACGTTAGTTAACCGTTGGCATTCAAATGGGCTGAGCTGGAGGGCTGGTAAAATGTCAAGATTGACATTCTGGCGTTGAAAGGCTAGCAAAATGTCAAGCTGGCGCTAGAGGGTTGGCAAAATGTCAAGTTTGACATCCTGGCGCTAGAAGTGGCCAGCCCTCTGGCCTGATTTGGGGGCTTTAGCCTGATGGGGACTACAAACCCTTTGGCTTAATCCTTAGTTGGAAATAGTTTTCATGTCATTTGGATCTATTTTTAGCCCAATTGATCTTTGGCCAGATCGGTTGGAGATGATCTTATGTTCTATTTCGAGATATGTGCAGTATATGATGGGAGCCCTTATAAGTGGAATACGTGTCGTTCATTTCTAAACTGATAGACGGCCGAGATTTAAAGCTCAAAAACAATGATCTTCTCCACTTCTCTTCAGCCTCCATCGCCGTCTCTCCTCCGTCTGGGCTCTGATCTTCGCACTCCTCTAAAATACACTCCAAGGTACTGGGCAGCTCCCTCAAATCCTTTCTAATATATCCTTCGACTTCAAATCTTGGTTGCAATCGTTCCAGTTCTGGATTTTGAATCATGGGTTCATTTATTTATTTATTAATTTCATGCTTTTTCTTCCTGTAAATTCTTGATAACCTACTTCTATTTTTTCTCACTGCATCTGGATAGGTTTCGATTGATGAAAAAAGATGAAATTTCATTGCTTTTGGTGTTTACAGGTGAAAGAAAAGCCGGAAGAAATGCCGCTGTACGATTGTATGCTGCTGCTGAAGCCCCATGTGAGGAAGGAGTCTCTGATGGACTTGGTTGCTCGAGTGAGCAAACACGTTTGCAGAAGAAATGGAGTTATTACTGACATGAAGTCGTTCGGCACTGTTCAGCTCGGTTATGGTATTAAGAAGCTTGATGGAAGGTATTATCAGGTGGGTTTCTTTTTATCTTTCTGCAATCTTATAGTGCATTTGAATTATTACGGATTGTAGTCTTCTTCGTCGTTGCGTTTGAATTGTCTTATTTTTGCAATGAGAGCGTGTTGTGTAATTCTTTGCGCTTGCGGGTGGTTTTTAGTTGAGCTTGTTAATGCTACATTTTCTATAAGTTGAGGGCCAATGTGATGCCGCTGCAGTTTCCCATTCTCTTTGTTGTACGTAATGAAAAGTGTATGTGAAATTTCTTTAAGCTTCTTTTAATATGGAGGTTCGAGAAATGACAATTACTGGCCGAAGCAGGGATGATTTTTTCGTAGGTATGAACTAGTATTTGAATTGGGCTATAAAGTGCTGCTTTCTCTGTTTGTGTTAAGAACTTGAATTAGAGGATTTGAAATGTAAGGATGGAACCTCTAGGGGATGGCATAAAGTTGATAGCTTGCCTCAGAATTCTCAGGATGCTTAATTTGAACTATCTTAGGTTGTAGATTCTGTTACGCCCTCAGCAGGGGACGATGGACTCTGCTTGTAAGATTGTAACAATATCTGAATTTGAAGTTCTTTGCAATCTTTATAGCAAGACGGATGGTTTTCTGTCAGATCTTGCCAATCCCTAAACTTAGGAAAAATGACAACAAAAAAACAAAAAAGGTTGGCATTCTATCACAGTTTTAGAGTGCAACCGTAGCTTTACTGTTTGATAGTTCTTTAGACGTTTTGTCATCCCGAAGAGCGACAGTTTTCACTGTCTTAACACTCTTGAACATCTCCATTAGGAGAGTGGAATCCCTAAGTTGATTTTTAAAATGTCTTCCACCAATATGCAATCCTTGAAGGAGATTTGGAGCATTTGCAGATGCTGGTGCCTTGTTGAGAGGGTGCCTTTTATCCTGAAGGGTGAGGGTGATCTCCCTTGTCGGTTATTGGGTTTCCAGGGTTTCTGCTTCCTTGGTGGAAATGTAGATTTCACCAGATTCAGCACTTCTTGGAATATTCTAAAACTTTTGAGAGCTCTTGACCAATCTCATCAGATGCAGAAATAAATTTGTACTCTTTTGGTCATTTTCTATTTCCATATGTTGTCTCGTTGGTATTTCTAACTGTGGACGAGTTATTATGATTTTATTTATAACTCAAAGTTTCCATATGGTATAGGGCCAACTAATGCAAATGACAATGATGACTACACCCAACATCAACAAGGAGCTGCACTACTTGAACAAGGAAGATCGGTTGCTGCGCTGGCTGTTGGTTAAACACCGAGAAACAAAGTACGGACAGGAATTTCTAAGTGAAGAGGATTCAAAAAGTGAATTCAATAAGCTTCAGCGGAGCAGCATATATAATATGGATGAGTCCGAGACTGAGGATGATGACGACGATGACGAGGAATATGATGTGAAATATGACGTGGAAGGGTAGTGGAGTACTGTTTCAGGCATGATCCTTACCATTTTGTTGAAGTTCCTTGATTTACGTTTGACATAAGGTACGGCATCAGTAAGTGTTATGAACTATGTTGGGTGAATTAGCTTCTGAGCGAAAACATTGAATATCTTCTGAGCGTTAAAAGGATCAATGTAGTAGTTTAAATTTCTTTGTTTCTCGTGATGACGTATGTGTTAGGTTGATGTTGAGTTGTCGCAGGAGGAACTAGGGCATGCTGCGGGTGCTTCTAGCTCGGTTACTTGAACTACAAGTAACCATGCTTTGGAGCTTCCTTCTACGATTCTAACCTTGTGTTTGGATGGAGACGGCTGCCTATTGCATATACCTGTAAACGGGTTGGGTTTAATGGGTTTTGGTCGGGTTCAACCTAAACCATTAATTTAACGGATCATTCGGACCCAACCTGTTAAGTTAACGGGTCATCCGAACCTAACCCGTTAAGCTAACGCGTTACCTGTTTCACCCGTTAACTTATTTATTTTTTTATATTTTTATATTTTATAACATTTCATCCAAATTTTTTTTACATTTGCCTTCTTCGTCGTCAGCCTCCTCCACTCCCTAATTGCCATATCCTGCGGGGCACTCACGATGTTCTACATGACGGAAGTCTACACCTTCGGGCACAGGATTGAGACCGCCCAGAAGCTGCTGGGGTCCACCCCATACGACCTGCTCCTGATTCGGATCGGCGACTCCTTCTCCGGCCTCCTTCTCTTCGCGATCGGCTTCCTGCTGCTCATGGTCTCCTTCGTGAAAGATCGCAAGTTCCAAAGCTTCTTCGCCAAGGGGTGCACGTTGCTCCACGTTTTCATGGCGATGTGGCGGTTCTACTTCAAGCAACGGGTGGAGGACCTCGCCTGGGACTGGCTGAGGCAGACGGTCGGTGACGTCGTGCCGGCGGCGTCTTGGGTTTATGTTAAACCATAATGATTGGGCGATCTCTTAGTCTCAGAGAGCAAGCCGTGCAACGGTGCGAGAGAGAGTGAGTCGTGAGGGACCTGATGGTTTTCTATTAGGACTCTTGAAATTACACAAAAGTTCTCAGGTCTTAACCGGTTTCGCGAGTTCACCTAAAATGATCCGTTATTTAACGGGTGATTAACGGGTTGACCCGTTAACCACCTGACCCATTTATCATCCATCCGAATACTAATTTTAACGGGTCGGATGAAAAATGTCAGGTCTACTATTGCACATGAATTGCTTGATTCTTGTCCCTTAATTTCCAAATGGTTCCACTTTCTATATAGCAAACATGCCTTGCATTAACCACAGGAGGAAGGAAACATCCCATGCATTGAAAAACAATAAAACGGTAGCGTCTATATTTTACACGCGGAATGTCGTTTGGCATTTAGGAAAGGCATGATATCAAGAGAATCTGTCGAATATTGTCGGCGCAATCTGTTGAGATATGTTAGCAAATATTACATTAAACACTTAGTGGGCACAAAAGGGACCCATACCACCTATTTGGAGAGTCTTGGAAGACCTTCACATATACATTTTCTGAGATCATGGGACCACCTTGGTCTGAATGTACATCCGCCTCTGGTTATGCTAGAACGTTTAAATTAGACATGGATTTCAATTTATATTTATACTTCATCTTTTGTTTTCTCTTCTTTCTCTTTATTTGAGTTTCTTGACGCATACAAACATTCGTTTTTGTAATACTTAGGTTCTCACCCGTTAGAACCCCATATCGTAGCCTTATAAAAACAACGAAGATTTGGCCCATATTCTTGGGTAAGGATATAGGGTATACTTAGACTAGTCAGGACCGAAGTATTTTCGTTAACAAAATGTATATTAATCATTGAAAAATGTTATACTGTTATTTTGCCATAGATTTAGCTGTTACAGTAACAAGGAGAAAAGGGGGTGCCTTTCTTTAATCACTTTATTAATCCTATTCTTGCTTTATTGAACACATTATGCATACTTTATGCATGGTTAACGTCTTTTTTTAGTTAATTATGCATTAGTTTGGTTAATTGTTATTCTTGCTTTTTGTCTTTAATCTTTATTATCCTATTCTTGCTTTATTGAACACATTATGCATACTTTATGCATGGTTAACGTCTTTTTTTGCAAATTGTTAATCCTATTTTTGCTTATTAGTTTCCGCACCACTAATATTTTGACTATATGTTCCCCCAATTGCATGTCTTTTGACCCTCCACTAATCTAAATCAGTGTAATAATTTTCATGGCACAGATCCACCGTTATTTTAGCGTTTTATGTTATTAATACAATACTACGTGGATAAAAACTTACATATTTCTTTGTATCATTAACACAACATCATAGCATCTTCAATGTAGACAATTGAGGAGGCAAACCCATTTTGATAAGCCACGTAGGCAAAAACAGCTCTAACAGTATAGGCAATTAATTTTGTCTACTCTCAAAGAAGGAGATCCCCTCCGGATCTTTTCCTCCTAATACATCAAGTTTGGGAATCCGGACAATTGAAATTTGATCAAACGGTTACAAACAAGGGCTTACTTTAAAAGTTATAATAAATTTAACCGTTGAATCAAATTTCAATGGTCCGAATCCCCAAACTTGGTAGATTAGGTGGAAGGGATCCAGAGAGGATCCCTTTCCGTATTTGCCTAATTCATTGGAGTGACAAACTTTTTCTACGAGGTAATTGAGTAGACAATATGCCACGTCGGTCGTTATAGTACAATTTTACTTACTTTAATTGCCTATATCATAAGAAATACTCACGATAATTATGTACCTGAACCACGAAAGTCCTCCGAACTTAATAACAAGTTGGCCCCCATAGGAAGAATGTGGAGAAAAGAATTTACAAGATAACGTAAATTAAAGTATAAATAATTGTACTTGTTATATGATTAGATGATAGAGGCAGAGGTATCAAATCAAAGCATAAGCCCCTCCTACTGTTTTGAGACTCTAATGGGAATCCAAGTCAGGTGAATTCTTTTCCTAAAAAGCTGTGTTGTTCTCAGCTGCACACGGGCAAATCCGTTTCAAATCAAATGCCCGTTGAAGTGTCTGTCCCTTTCAATTTCAAACCTGTCGTTGGGACACTTCTCTAGTAATTTACTAAGTTCTCTTATCAACATATTCCCGGCTCGATGTTGAGTCGGGAACAGAGATTCTTACATGTAATTAAAGTTATATCTTTATACGTAAACAAGACGAAGAGAAGAGAGATGTATATTCGATTGTACCCAAGCTTTTCTTGCTTCTTGTGAACAAACTACTCAGAATATAACAATCTTGTTATGTCTAAGTGTGTCGACTTTTTCAAGGGGATTTTCTATGGTACTATAGATTTGGTGTATGTGATACTCCAAGTATTTTTAACAGTTAGATATTTGTAATAAAAATCAAGATTAAACAGTTAAAATGGCCGAAATATCACAAACTCTTACCCTGGAATCATGGGTGGATGTACATTGGGATCAAGGTGGTCCCAAGACCACGTAGAGTCCGAGAAATATATATATATATATATATATATATATATATATATGTGTGTGTGTGTGTGTGAGGGTCTTTCGAGGACTTTCTGAATGTTTGGTATAAGTTTCTTTTGTACCTACCAAATGGTTGATATAATGCTTGCTAGACATATCTCAACAAGTTGTGGCGACATCATTCGACAAATTCTCTCAATATCACTCACAGATTGTTTCGTCATGTGTCGACATCTGTTGGCATGTGTGCAATATAGTTTGACTTAAGATAAGAAACTCACCAAATGTCGACGAATGTCTCAATAGAAAATTTGATTTTTGTTTTTTAAGCATTGCAATAATAGAAGAAAGTCACGAAATTCCTGAGGGTTTTTATAGTCACTCTAACCCTGTGAGAACCACTGCATGGGAGGGTCCCTCTCGTGAGTGGTGATGCCAAACCCCAAACTTGAACAGCTTGACACTGTTTCCTTTGAATCAAGCAAGACACTCGCATGACATGTATGAGTAGAATTTACATGCAACTTGAACGTCAAAATCGAAGTATTGTAAACTTATTTAAAACACCATCAAAATAACGTCTCCATATAAGTTTCTTTCCAAAAACATGTATCACACGTTCAGAAGCTTGCATTCTCGGTAATTCACCCACTGAGTTACTGTTAAGGTCAAGGTTCAAGCACGGGGGCTGTCAAATTGTAATTACCCTTTTTAACGTCCTCGAGGGACACTAAAAGCTGTGGCTCATCACAAATTAAGAAAAAGGTTACTTTTATCGGCAACTTGTCTTTTACTCTTTCATCTTTCCTGCACTGCACGGTCTGCATCGGCTGCTCGAGAAGGACTATATGGAACACAATTATGGTTACTGTGATGCCTCGTTTTAATAAAACAATGATATGTGTAAGTTTTATAACACATTATTTTATATTATTGGATTGAGACGTTATTTGTAAGTTTTTATATGGCTCCCTAAGTAGAGTTATGAAAGAACAACGAATCAATTTTTATATTCTCATTTTCTCATTTTACGTTAATACCTTAAAGCTTCATATAGCTCCCTAAGCTAGTCTACAATATTGTGGAGAATTGAATATTCCGCTACTTAGAATTTTTAAATTCAATTTAGCGATTGCTTTTTTGTTAACTGTTGGATTGACTCTAAGAGAACTTTAGTTGTTAGTAAAAAACAGAGAAAGAGAGAATTTTCACACTACAATTTTTCATTTTAAGAAACTAGAGATCAAACTTAAACGTATAATTTTACACATTACTCTAACTAACTGACTTAACCTATTATTCGTCTCACATTTTCTATTCACAATACCAATTTATAAATTCATCCAGTCCCCTACTTTTTACTTGCTCTACCCTATCTTTTGATTGGATTCTTTCTAATAAAAAAAGATAAAAGAGATGCTTTGTGAACTTTTGATTAATTTTTGTTAAAAAAAATAAAAAAATTCACAAAGCATCTATTTTTTTCCTAAATGACCAGCACCAGTCAAATCAACAAACACCCTCAAGGGTCCCCTCTTGCTACCAAAAGCAATCCAAATTATATTCCCATTTCAACTAATCATGTTCCTTCTTTGGACTTAAGCAGGAATGTTTTTGCAATAGTATTTCAGGTCAATTACACTTAAAAACACATATGTTTTAATTTTTTAGATTGTACTACGTAATTACCTTAAAATATTGTTAAAAATGCTTCTTTGAACAAAAAAGTCTTAGAAATTGATACAATCTCAAGTCAATGCTAAAAGTTCTTAGAAAATGCTACAAGTTGCGATATTTCTTTGAACAAATTTTTTTTTTATAGAATCTTTGAATGTGATTATACTTAGTTTTACGTTAAATATTTTATTACCTCTAAATACTCTATGTATTTTTTTAAAGTCTACTTCTAAATATTTCTATTCCTCTCTTATCGGGCGCATCTGTCTAATAAACATATTTTCTAATAAAAAATTACCAAAATATTTGCAGATTTTCGATTTACATGTACAAACAAGTCCACCTACTTTACGTTGCACCAAAGAAAGAAAAAGAAGTTTTTACAAAAAAAAAAAAACAAAAAAAAAAAAAACAAAAAGAAAGAAAAATAAACTGTTCCTCCTTTCCCTCTTTTGCTAGTTCCCATGCATTTCTCACTCCGACTCTCACAGAAAAGGAAACGGATTTCCATAATATCTGACACATTTTTCTTCCAATCGGGCATCCAAAATTGTCTGTTCTCTCAGTCATCCCAACCGCAAGTTCCAATGGAGATTTTCCACTCCTCCTTCTACTTAATCCTTCTCCTCCCTCTTCTCCTCCTCTTCGCGGCGGTTTCCGCCGCGGATATCTACTCAGACACCCTTCTCAGCTTAAAATCCGAGCTCACAGATGCCAATGGCAGCTTGAAAAATTGGATACTCCCTTCTACAGAAAACCCACCTGGCAAAATCCACGCATGTTCTTGGTCCGGCGTCAAATGCAACACCAACAACTCCGCCATTACTGGCTTAGACCTCTCAGTAAAGAGTCTCGCCGGTGAAATTTCCGGCGATCAATTCGCCGTCTTCGCCGACCTTGTATCACTCAATCTCAGTCACAACTCGTTCTCCGGTCACCTCCCCGCCGGAATCTTCAACCTCACCAACCTCACAACATTAGACATCAGCAGAAACAACTTCTCCGGCCACTTCCCTACCGGCGTCTCCGCCCTCCAAAACCTCATTGTACTCGACGCATTCAGCAACAGCTTTTCTGGGTCGCTCCCCGCCGAAATATCAGACCTTCAGAACCTCAAAATCCTCAATTTAGCAGGAAGCTACTTCCGGGGACCGATCCCGTCTGAATACGGGGCTTTCCGCCGGCTCGAGTTTATTCATCTCGCCGGGAATATGATCACCGGAAGCATTCCGCCGGAACTGGGGAAGCTCAAAACAGTGACCCACATGGAGATTGGCTACAATTTTTACCACGGAAGCATTCCGTGGCAATTGGGGAACATGACGGAGCTCCAGTATCTCGACATTGCCTATGCAAATCTCTCCGGCGCTGTCCCAAAATCCCTCGGCGATCTCGACAATCTCGAATCCCTCTTCCTTTTCAGAAACCAGCTTTCTGGGTCAATTCCGCCTGAGCTCAGCAACATCAGAGCTCTCCAAAGCTTGGATCTTTCCGACAATCTGATTTCTGGGTGGATCCCAGAAACCTTTTCGGAGCTGAAAAACCTTAGACTCCTCAGTCTTTTCTACAACGAGATGAGCGGCGAAGTTCCCGACGGAATTGCAAAGCTTCCGTCTTTGGAGACGCTGCTTTTGTGGAACAATTTCTTCTCCGGCAACCTTCCCCGGAGCTTGGGGAGGAACTCGAAGCTCGGATGGGTAGACGTCTCCACAAACAACTTCAACGGCAGCGTTCCGCCTGATATCTGTGCCAATGGTCAGCTCCTTAAGCTGATGCTGTTTTCGAACAATTTCTCCGGCGATCTCTCCACTTCTCTGTCAAACTGTTCGTCTCTGGTTCGTCTTCGACTCGAAGATAACAAGTTTTCAGGTGAGATTCCATTGAAATTCAGCACTCTGACTGACATCACATATGTTGATTTATCTGGGAACAATTTTAGTGGTGGGATTCCAATGGATATTTCAAAAGCTCAAAAGCTTGAGTACTTCAATGTCTCTAGAAATCCAGAATTAGGGGGCACAGTTCCTGCAGAAATGTGGGAATTGCCAAATCTTAACAATTTTTCGGCTTCCTCGTGTGGCTTGATTGGCAATGTTCCTTCGTTCAAAAACTGCAAATCAATATCTGTTGTTGAATTGAGCAAGAACAGCTTGGAAGGAACTGTCCCGAAAAGTATTTCTAGCTGCCGGGTTCTTGAGAGGATTGATTTAGGTAGCAATAATATATCCGGTCGTATACCCGAGGAGCTTGCAAGTCTTCCTGCTCTTCTTGTTCTTGACCTGTCACATAACAGCTTCAATGGACCAATACCTAAAACTTTTGGTTCTTCTTCGAGTTTAGTACTTCTAAATGTGTCTTACAATGATGTTTCCGGGAGTATTCCATCCGAAAAGGTATTTAGAATGATGGAACGAAGCGCGTTTGATGGGAATCCAAAGCTGTGTGGAGAGCCTCTCAGATCATGTCCTGGCTCAGTGTCTATATTTGGAAGCAGAGTCGCCGGGAAGCTTCTGTGGATCGCACTACTCTGCATCGGAGTAGTTATGTTCGTTACTCTATCAGTTATGGGGATATTTTACTACCATAAAGGCAGCAAAGGCCAGTGGAAGATGATCTCGTTTGCTGGACTTCCTCAATTCACAAAAAATGATTTATTGAAGAGCTTCAGTTCGACAGAATCCATGGATGCATTGCCACCTTCGTCAGCTTCAGTGCGGAAAGCAGTTCTGCCAATGGGAATCGCAGTTTCGGTAAAGAAGATTGAATGGGGAGCAAAGAGAATGAGAGTTATGCTGGAATTTGTAACACAAATAGGAAATGCAAGGCATAAGAATTTAATTCGATTGCTTGGAGTTTGCTACAACAACCATCTGGCTTATCTCTTATACGATTACTTGCCCAATGGAAACTTGGCTGAAATGATAAGTGTGAAAAGCGAATGGGCAGCCAAGTACAAAATTATCATCGGCATTGCAAAGGGATTACACTTCCTTCACCACGAATGTTCTCCTACAATAACACATGGAGATCTGAGATCAAGTAATATAGTGTTTGACGAAAATATGGAACCTCATTTGACAGAATTTGGGTTCAAGCACCTGCTCGAGTTGAACAAAAGTTCGTTTACGGCAGCAACTTCCACCTGGGATGCAGGTATGCATAATAAGATATGTTCTTTCATGTAGTAGAGATGATTATGTGGTGGTTGTTTTGAAAAGTTTTTATCTGCCATGCCAAACATATAACTTAAGCCCTTACACCACTACTCCTGAAATTTTGGGTAAATTACGGAATTCCAGTAAAACTCAACGATATGATTAGAAACAGAATTGTAATCAATTTGATATCGTTCGTGTATTAGCATCGACCATTTCCCTAAGTGCTCTCTTTTGTTGGACAGGTGATAACATCAGTGACACAAAAGAGGAGCTGTGCAGGGACGTATACAGCTTTGGGGAGATCATGCTGGAGATTCTAAGCAACGGCAGGTTGACAAATTTTGGCGCAAGCATACAGAGCAAGTCGAGGGAAGTTGTTCTGCGGGAAATCTACAACGAGAACGAAGCTGGTTCCGACATTTCAATGCAAGAGGAGATAAAACTGGCAATTGAGGTTGCTATGCTTTGCACCAGGAGTAGGCCATCCGATCGACCATCCATGGAAAATGCATTGAAGCTTTTATCCGAGTCGAAACTCCAGATGAAAAATAACCCAACTTTTGAAACTGCAGGGTGATGAATTTAGATGCAGATTGCCACAAGAAACCAAGGACGTATACGCAAGATGAAGTACTTAACTGGTAAGAGTGAGCTGTTTGTAGTCATTCCATTTTGTTTTGTAGTTTGTTTGTATTGTAAGCGTAATAAATGCTTTAGCTGTATAATAGTGCCATGTAATGTAAGTTTGTGTACCGTTGCGTGGGTTGTCTAGGTTAATCACGTACTCACTACTATGCGGTTTAACGTTATTGGCCTGAGATACCGCCATAGTGACTTTTGGTAGTTTTACTCCATACAATATGTGTGTATGTGTGAGCAATATATCACTGTACGACTAAAATATGTGTATTTTACGAAATTTCTTAATGAAAGTACAAATATAGCGATAAAAAGAAGGAAATAAAGTGTTGGGTTTCTATTCATGCATCCTGGGTTCGAAACTCTTCATTCCTTAATTATTGTAATAGGTCCAAACCCTCCATTTTCTTTAATAACAAAAAATAAAAATAAAAAACAATAAAAAAAAGGAAAAAAGAGTCACTATTCACAGTCAACGGCCCGGTAAGCCTTTACACCTCAGAAGTGGGCCGGTCTCTGTGCCGGCCCAATTCACAGGTCCATTATTAACCATGAAGTCACGTGCTACTGCCAGATCAACCATCTTCCTCTTTCCCGCCAAATCATTCCCGCCAAAATGGCGCGCTCCTCTTCCGCGCGGTGCCCTACAATTTGACCTACAGCGAGGGAGCATTTTAGAAAGAGAAAGTGGGAGGAGGGAGTTAACACTGTAATTGTAGAGAGAGAGAGAGAGAGAGAGTAGAGACATGTCAGGGTGGGACGAAGGAGCGATCTACTACAGCGACCAAGCGCAGTCGCTTGGCGGCGACGGCGGAGACGCCGGAAGCAACGCCGCAGCCGCCACCCGCCACTCGGTTCTCCAGAAATTCAAGGAATTCATCCGTAGCTTCGAGACACAGAAAAATGTGTTTTCGTACAGGGAGAGCCTCCTCCACAACGCTAAGTACCTTCTCGTCGACATCGAAGACCTCGACTCCTTCGACGCCGACCTCGTCGCAAAGCTCCGCTCTGCCCCCTCCGATTACTTGCCTCTGGTTACCACTTCACCGATCTGCTAATTATCCCCCTTCGTATTCAATTAATCATTGTTTTGAGTTGTTAATTAATTTTGATTGTTTTAATTGTGAGGGTTTTGTAGTTTGAAAATGCCGCAGGTCAGGTTTTGGCGAATTTAAAGACGAAAGTGCCAGGAAATGAAGGGAAATTGGAGGAACGGGTGCCTGAGGATGTTCAGATCTTGCTGACCTCCAAAGAAGACCCGGCGTCGATGCGCCAGCTTGGGGTTGGTTTTTTCTTTGAATTTTTTGCTTGGTGTTTGTATTTTCTGTTTGGTTGATGAGAAAGTTTGGGAAAATGATAAACTTTTATTTCAGCTGAACATAAAAAGTTAATTATTTGAGCAATGAGAATTTGGGGAATGGTGTATTATTAATGGTTAGGTTATGCTACATAATTTAAATTTTAAATTATTGTAGGCACAATGTATATCGAAACTCATCAAGGTTTCCGGGATCACTATAGCTGCTTCAAGGGTCAAGGCGAAGGCAACTTATGTGATTGTAATGTGTAAGAACTGTAAAAATGTGCAGAGGGTACCTTGCCGGCCAGGCCTTGGTGGCGCAATCGTCCCTCGCTCTTGCAACCATATTCCTCAGGTTTGTTATATTCCTTGTTCTTATGTTCCTTTCTTTCGGTGTTTTCTTGCATTGTCTTTCTTTTCTAGTTTGGAATCTTATACAAGGGATTGCAAATGTTTAGCCTGGAGAAGAACCTTGTCCGCTTGATCCATGGGTTGTGGTTCCTGATAAGAGCAAGTATGTTGATCAGCAAACCTTGAAATTGCAAGAGAATCCAGAGGTGATGATCTTAATTTATAAGGAAAAGAATTTTAAGTTGAATTATGGAATCTGGATGTAATTAGTTGTTTCCCTTGGTTTATGAAGGATGTACCTACCGGAGAGCTTCCAAGAAATATGCTTCTATCCGTGGATCGTCATCTTGTTCAGACAATTGTGCCTGGCACAAGATTAACCATCATGGGCATTTATAGCATCTATCAAGCTTCCAATTCTGCCACATCGTGAGGATTGTTATAACTTTAGATGAATATTTTAATGTCTTTGTATACTGCTCTTCACTACTGAACTTTGATGTTTACTCTATTCGGTTCTATGTAGCCATAAAGGAGCAGTTGCTGTTAGGCAGCCTTACATCAGAGTGGTAGGAATAGAAGAAGCAACTGATGCCAACACTCGGGGTCCTGCTGCTTTTACACAAGATGAGGTATTGGTTGAATTCAATATTTGGGAGTATCTTTAACATCTTTTCTACATTGCTAGTGTGTTCAACATGTGCAGTTCTCGTTAGCAAGTATAGGCCTCATGGAGTATTTAAGCACTAGATAGTTGGTAAATTTTGGTGTGGTTGAGAATTGTTTACTCTAATACAAGCCTTAGCTGTATATGATCATAAAATCATCTTTTTTATTTTATTTTTTGGTCATATTTTAATCGAAGTAAGCTTTGTTATAGAACTAGTAATATGACTTTTCAACCATTTTTCATGTTTGCAGATAGAAGAGTTCAAGAAGTTTGCTTCGGAAGATGCATATAAAAATATATGCCTGAAAATTGCTCCCTCTATATTTGGTCATGCAGATGTAAAGAAGGCTGTGGCCTGTCTTCTGTTCGGCGGATCTAGAAAGGTATATCCTGAATTTTTGTCTTTAGTACTTGTGTGGTTTATTGATGGTAACAACCCATTCTCCTGTGAGCAGCATTTGCCTGATGGTGTGAAGCTAAGAGGTGATATTAATGTCCTACTTTTGGGGGATCCATCCACTGCTAAATCACAGGTTGGTTCTCGTATATTTGTTTTATGGGCTCACAATCTAAGTGGCAGTATACAATTTTTCACAGAAAAATATCTCTGCTTAGTTTAAGACCTATTTACCTAGCCATGTGAGAATAAGACAGTTTATGGTCTTCTTCCATTGCTACACATGGCACATGCTGATTTGATTTCTACTCATCTGTAAAGTTTCTCAAGTTTGTCGAGAAGACAGCTCCCGTGGCCGTGTATACTTCAGGAAAAGGGTCATCAGCTGCTGGTCTTACAGCTTCTGTGATCAGGGATAGCAGTTCTGTAAGTTCCTGATCTTCTTCTGATTTTAATTTAACGATGCTTGTTGTCTCTAGTTTTGTAATGCCTTTCACAAAATATTAGTGAGGTAGTTGTCCCTTTCCTTTGGAAAATGTCTCTAATTTCAATTTCTTGGTGCAACGCAGCGTGAGTTTTATCTTGAAGGAGGAGCCATGGTTTTGGCGGATGGAGGTGTTGTCTGTATTGATGAGTTTGACAAAATGAGATCAGAGGATAGGTAATGCAAGCTGGATAGATCTTGATGTGCTTAACTTAGTTTTTCATAGAGTTCTAATAGACTACATTGTTGTGGCTTAGGGTTGCTATTCATGAAGCCATGGAGCAGCAAACCATATCCATTGCCAAAGCAGGAATAACAACCGTTCTTAATTCTAGAACCTCTGTGCTTGCAGCTGCTAACCCTCCATCTGGACGTTATGACGATCTGAAGGTACACTGCTATTCTAGTTGATCTAATTTAAGAGTCTTAGATGCAACTTGTGACTTCTTTGAATACTAATTGACACAATTGCTTTCTTTCAGACTGCTCAGGATAACATTGATCTGCAGACGACAATTCTTTCGAGATTTGACTTGATCTTCATTGTTAAAGATATCAGAATGTACAGTCAGGATAAGGTATTTTTAATATTGCTAATTCGAAGTGTTTTGCTCAAGTACTTTGGGAGTACAATTCTTGTTTTCTTTCAGGTGGCATTTCAACACCTAACATGTACTATATCTTTGAGTGTCACTGCTGGTCCACTTTGATTGTACTTACTTTTTCATCGGTAGCTTGACTCGGCTTTTTAATGACAGACTATAGCAAGTCATATCATAAAGGTTCATGCTTCTGCTGGTGCAGCACTGGGTGACGGTAGAGTAGTTTCTAAAGAAGAGAATTGGCTGAAGAGGTATACTTTGAAACACAAGTTCATACATTCGTTATAAAATGCTGCCATTGGAATATCAATGAGATGTTGAATTCTTTTTCTTTGCGACATTGTAGGTACATACAATATTGTCGAACTGAATGTCACCCGCGCTTATCAGAAACTGCATCGAGAGAGCTGCAGAGTAATTACGTGAAAATCAGACAGGTATTCTTGCTGTTAACTTATTATAGTGAGGATTGAGCAGATGCCGACCCAAAAATTCTCCAATTGACATCATCTTCATGAATTTTGTTATAGGACATGAGACAGCTAGCGAATGAAACAGGGGAGGCCGCAGCAGTGCCAATCACCGTAAGGCAGCTTGAAGCTATAGTGAGGTTGAGTGAGGCCCTTGCAAAAATGCAACTGTAAGTATTAGTGATATTGATTGATGCTTAGGAGTTAGGACTTCCAATTGTGATGTCTATTAACATGAACGGGGACTAGAACTTCAGTATTGAAAACCACAATGTCAAATTCAGGCGCCACGAAGCTACTGAGGAGCATGTTCGTGAAGCAATAAGACTATTCAATGCGGCCACAATGGATGCAGCAAAGTCTGGAATACAACAGCAGGTCAATCTTACCGGTGAGATGGCTAATGAAGTTAAGGTTAGTAGAAACTACTTCATTGTCATCTTTTCCTACAAGAAAACAAAAGAAGCGACTAGATCAGAGATAAAACATCATTTTCATTCTCTCTTATCTTTCTCATACTCTTTTCTTTTCCAACGCGCGCTTAATTTTTCTCCCTTCAACAGCAAGCTGAAACTCAGATAAGGAGAAGAGTAGGCATTGGGAACCACATATCAGAGAGAAAGCTGATCGATGAGCTCACAAGAATGGGGATGAATGAATCTACCGTAAGTACGAATTTGATTAAATATTCATCATAGTTGCCTCCGCACATGAGCAACTAATCTGGAAAAGTACGATTATTTGAATTTGACGCCTCTCGGTTTGAATCGTCTTCCAAATATTGATAATATCGCATACAATAGTGTGATTTTGGGACAAATGAACATCTGAAAAATGACTATTTCAACTTAGCGGACCATTAGAAACTAGTTGGCGATTGCTTCCGCCAACATCTTTTCGGTTGTTGGTGCCTTCATTGATATCACTACTAATTTGCAGGTGAGAAGAGCTCTGATAATTATGCACCAGAGGGATGAAGTCGAATACA